GAACTATCTATCTCTCCAGCTCATTTTTTTTCTTTCTTTCTTTCTTTCTTTCTTTCTTTCTTTCTTTCTTTCTTTCTTTCTTTCTCTTTCTTCTTTCTCTTTCTTTCTTTCTTTTCTTTCTCTCTCACTCTTTCTTTCTTCCTTCTTTCTTTCTTTCTTTCTTTCTTTCTTTCTGTCTTTCTCTCTCTCTTTCTTTTTTTCTCTCTTTCTTTCTTTCTCTCTCTTTTTCTTTCTTTCTCTTTCTTCTTTCTTTCTTTCTCACTCTTTCTTTCTCTTTCTTCTTTCTTTCTTTCTTTCTTTTCTTTCTTTCTTTCTCTCTTTCTTTCTCTCTTTCTTTTCCTCCTGGGGGTGGGGGGAGGGACAAACCTCCTGGTTGGTGCTCAGGTTCATGAGCACCAACTTCTGTCTCCGAGTTTAGGGGTCACTCCCTGGGGAGCTCAGTGGAGCGAGTCAACTGTCCTCCCTGATGTTTGACCTCTCCAGTCCCAGGAAGCCAATTTTGACTCAGTACCAGGAAAACTGAGTGTGCAGGTCAAGCACTCTACCTGCTGCACGGCCTCTTCCTGCCCTTCTGGGATTTATCTGAAGATCTTAGGTTACCACACAAAGCCATCTCGAATTAGGAGCTTTAAAAATAAATTTTTTTTTCAGAAACTGAATTAAAAGCTAAAAAGACTACTGAAGCCTGTTAGATCTTTTTAATCTTTTCGGAATTGTATTTTTACAATACATGTCAATATGCAAAATCCTTTGAGTGACTTTATTCCATCTCAATCATCACAACGAACTAAGATTCATTTTTTTTTCCTTTTTGGGTCACACCTGGCGATGCACAGGGGTTACTACTCCTGGCTCTGCACTCAGGAATTACTCCTGGAGGTGCTTGGGGGACCACATGGGATGCTGGGAATCGAACCCAGGTCAGCTGCATGCAAGACAAATGCCCTACCTGCTGGGCCATTGCTCCAGCCCCCCAATCTGGCTTTATAGATGAAAACGGTCCCATTCCTTGTCCATGGTCACCGCCATACATACGTATAAGTCACAGAGGCAGGAATTTCCCCGTGGAAACAGGTCCAAAGACACTTACATTGAAGAAGCTCGTCAGGTTCGAAGAATGGCAAGGTTCAGTAAGGGAGAGAGTTCAGCTCAGGCAAGCTTGGAGCGGGAAGTAAGTGGCCTGGAGCTGAGGAAACCAGCGAATACAAATGACAGTTTGATATTCTAAGGGTTCGGATCTTTATTTAAGAAGTTGGATTCTGTGACGCAAAATATGCCCAGTTCGTGCTTTTGTCAATTGGCCTCGATAAAACAGGTTTTTGTCATGAAGTTGCAGCTTCTCTACTTTGAGTACATTTCTCCTAGTCTTGACACCCTGTTTTGAAGGTCTTGTCTAATTCATATGGTGACATCTACGTAAGTCCGACTTCTCAATGTGGGCAGGCACAGAAGTAATCTTGTAACGTTACTATGACCGAAATTGCCGAGAGAATTCAGGTTTTGTCTATTTGCATGGAATTAGGAGTTAGATGTTAGAAACTTTTGAGATTGCCAGAGAGATTAAGGCGTTTGCCTTGCATGTGGCCAACCCTGGTGGTCCCCCAAACGCAGCCAGGAGTGACCCCCACCAGGTGTGACCTGCCTGCCTACCCTTCAAAAAGGGGAAAAAAAGCTCAGAAATTGTCCCCACTAAACTCCAGTGAAACAGGACCGAGGACTCCTGGTGCTTGCAGGCCGGGCCATCACTGCGGGAACAGCAAAGGAGGTGGCTGTTAATTGGTCTCCAGGCCAGCGGTTCACCAGGGCTGGCCAGCAGGTGACCATGAGGCAATCCTAGGTGGGTGTCGCAAATGCCAACGCACCTCACGCCGAGACCGGCCTGCACTGACTGGCCTCGGTTAGAACGGATACCCCGGCAGACAAACAGGAAGAACTCAATCTAAACAAGCTTCCTGTCTCGTGACACAGGAGAATGTAAACCAAATAGTTTAAGGCTGTGTAGCCTCATTACCGCCATTAAAAATGATGTGAAAGGATTTCCATCTTACGTGTAAGGAATGTAAACTACACAAAGCGTTTTAAAAGAATTGCCAGTGACAGCTTGTTTAAATTCTAAGAAATGACTAACATAAAAGCTATCAACTGCTGGGCTATGAAATACTTTTAACTTCTTCCTAGTGATCACTTGGAAGTAAAAAAGCAATCCTGAACATTAGATGTCAAACCTTTTTTTTTTTTTTTGGTGGCTTTAAGGCAGCATTAGATCACATCTTTAAAAAACCTTGAAGGCTACTATAAATATACAGATATTAAGCAGCATTAGCTAGGCCAGAGGTAACCTCGAAAAACAAGCATGGTGGCAAAAAAAGGTCACCCCGTAAGAATCCAATAAATCATTATCAGCTCTCCAGACACCGAAGAAGTAACAGAACTCTATCCGTGCTTGCTTTGACAAGCGATTGCAACTAAAGCGCTAAAAAGTGGTTTTGGGCCGCTGCTTCAGAGTAAGCAGTTACCCATGATTAGGGACCAAGCTCCTGCCAGAGAAAACCCTAGTATCTGTGGCACTGCTAGGGTGGAAGAAGTGAAGAAAATGCCAGAGGGGGTCGGGAGTGTAAGAAAATGTTATTAGGAGGTGGGAACAGTTCCCATTTCCCGGAGCACAGTTGCACTGGGTCCCGTGACACCCCGAACGACTCCACTCTCTCAGTAGGTGCGCGCCAGGTTGGAGGGGAAAGTGGAGTCCAACCAAGCCTGATTAACGTAGACCTGAACACAGAAGGCTCCACCAGCAGCAGCAAAGGCTTAGTCAGCTCAGACAAGGACTCGAGGTCAGACGAGGTACGATAAATTCATCTAAGGATATTTTTTGACAATCCCATTAGCCGTTCAGTGGTATAACTTGGGGCCTTCTTGTGGGGGCAGGCTTGAGGTGTGGTCTGCTACCTCTGAACCCCACTGGGTGTAGCCCAAAAAAATAAAAAAAGAAAAATTAACGAGAGTAAAGTCTTTCAAGATGGAAAATAACCTTAGAAAATAACTTGTCTTTAGATAAACTGGAGATGGACCTTAGGCTGGAGAGTAATCAGCATTCTTGGAAAAGAAACCAGAAGTGCCAAAATAAAAAAAAAAAAAAACCTAACAGCTTAAAGAAACATGGGTAAAATTCTAATACTAATAAAACCAGTCAGACAATACAAATCCAGGGAAGTCGATACTGAGAGTTCCAAATGAGACCCAAATAACAACAGTCAAGGAGGAGGCAGGCTTACTGCACCTTTCAAGGACGGCCGACCAGCAAGAGGTACTAGAACAGGCTTCACGGTGCCCTTTCTAATACCAGGACCAAAAAACTCGCTTCTCAAGTTTTCTGAGAGGTTGGCGGGAAGCATCATCTATAACAGAATGTAAGTGGAAAAGCATTCAACTGTAACACCGACCTTGAAGAGAAAAGGGGTAATGACTGAAAAACTCTATATCCAGTTAAACTATCAGTTAAACCATTATACATGCAGAGGATCAAAAAATTTACATAGAAGGTTGTAAATGGACGAACTCAAGAAAAGATAAACTAACACGTGTTACTTTACATTCTTAAAATGTGAAATGGGGACTCTTATTCAAGGAAACCCCTCCCCATAACCCGGAAGCTTCCCTGCTTTTTCCCCTTCTCTTAAAATAGGAAGGAAAGGAGGGAAAGAGGGAGGGACGGACGGAGGGCTGAAAGCAAACTTACTCCTTTGAAGCAGAGCTCAAGATAGTAAGGAGGTTTTCAGAGAAAAGGCGATTTGAATACGAGAAGAAACATTTGAAAGGAAAAGCTAGGAAGAAGGAAGAGAAAAACGGGGAAGCTTCAGAGACCTGGCGGCACCAGAAGGAATGAACTATTCCAGGGTTTGACTAGGAGGCAACGTGCAGTGTGAGGACACCGTGAAAGCCAAGGAAGCAACTAGATAGAAATGATGTTAAAAAAAAAAAAAACCAGAAAAGGTTTTATGAAATACACTATTTACAGAGAAAGCATATTGACATTATAAATCGATTCGTCGAGAAATAAATTCAGCTGATTTGGCACACACTGTAAAAGTGCAGTAAAAAAGGTAAAATTCATTCCAGGTAACAAAAAAGGCATCTAGGGAAGGAACTGAAGGACTGATTATTTTGAAAGCATGCATATGTTTTACACCGTAACTTTAAAGTAAGGACTAAATCTCATAAGATTTGCTCAAGATGTGCTAGTGTTGATCAGGTATCCTAGCAAAACAAAACAAAACAACAAACCGCCTGTATTTGAAGTTCCCTTGCAACGGAACAGGTCAATACTGTGGGCAGAAGCACCAGTGATTAGGGCGCCGGCCTCGCAGGGTGACCCCTGGGCAGAGCCAAGGTGAGGCTTGAGCACAGCTAGGGTGGACCCCAATGGGCACCCAACACTGCCACAAAACTGCGTTTCCATTCCAAATCGAAAAGCAGATTTATGGGTTTTAATTATGAACAGAAGAGGATCTTACTTTTTACAATAGCTAGCAGGGAACACTTGGTATATGCCTGACACCGTTGACTGTAACAACGAAACTTAATGCATGAGAGTGAGGCTTACGGATGGATTCGGTCATGGCAGCCCTCAAGTTAAAGCACCGTGTTCAAATGTCTCCCTGAAAAAGAAAACGTCTTAGGGAATGCCCTGCCACAGAGGCAGGGTGGGAGGGATACTGGGATCCGTGGTGGTAGAGGATGGGCACTGGTGGAGGGACGGGTACTCGATCACTGTAGAACTGAAACCCAAGCACAAAAACTTGTAAGTCTACAACTGTACCTCATGGTGTTTCACTAATAAAAATTTAAAAACAAACAAACAAACAAACAGTCTTCCTGAAACTCAATTCACGGAGACCCAGACCCACCCAAATTTGCTTACGGAAACAACTCTGACAAAAAGTCATTTATTGCTTTAGTGTTCTTTGCATAAAGATGTCAGCGAAGGATTGAATAGAAACGTATCAAATCATTTCTTCATTTATTAATACGTTGTCAAATTCAGTTTTCTATACACTATTGGTGGTTGTTCCATTTTCTGTACTATTAGGTACACATATTTAAAAAAATATTTAACTTATTTTTCAGAAGAAATTAAGTATTTTTGAAAAAGAATCATTTTATTGTCCTCTACAACAAATCCGCAACAATCTTAACCAACTCATTTCAACACCTTTGCTCAGGGGCAACTTGTCTAAAGATCTAGTTTACACAATTCTAGTCTACATAATACTGTTTCACCCTGTTACATAGTATATCGTTAAAGCACATTTTTGTAATAAACAGGTTTCTCTTTCCATATGATACAGACAGATTTCACACTTTCCGGCAATCACTCAAATATATTAAAAATGCATCCTCCTTGAAAAGGCACACACATTTATAGGTTCAAATCTTTATTGTTTTAAAATTCTACATGTCTTGTACAATACAATATTTTGTTATTTAAATGATCTCTAAATGGTTAATGTACAATGAGCTTTTCTCTCCTGAAACTGAACCATGGATTATGAGCTCATCGATATGATTCTACTCTAAAGAGAATTAACAAAGGTACTGGGATGTGCTGCCTTTGAAACTCAAAGCAGGCCTTCCCTTGCCGCCCCAGCGACCAAGCCACTGAAAGTGCTTTTGGAGATTGCTGATTACAGCTGATGTTCCGATCAGCCCAATCAAGTTAGAGTTCCTTTATGTTCTCAAACATCAAAGGGCATTTAAAAAAATAAAACGATTTGCTTTAGTAATCTACAGAGGCAAACTCAAAGTTATGATTATCTGCATGCAATAACACTCCTCCTTTGTAGAGCCTGAAGAATTTACACGCTGTATAAAGAATGGGTTAAAGAGTGCAAGTTTTCTGATATTGATTCCACGAAAGGACAGATGCTGGTAATAAGAACTAACATTAATCTCTAAGTTCACGCTAATGTGTTTATGTAACAGGCAATTAATATGGCCAGTTAGGAGCCACGATGCACAAGGTATGCCCTTTGAGAGAATGAACTAGTTTGGTCCGCGGTTCTAGAGTTATCCGGGTAGAAGACAGAAACAAAAACAAAACCATTTCAATTCAGCCATGAGTTTTGATGAACGTGTTGTTCCTAAGACGTCGCCAGTTAAAAAGCCAATGGTGTCACGCCCATGAAGTCTACTGTCCGGGTGACGTTCGTGTCAAAAGACGGCTGCTATGTGTGGAGTGACGAAAGAGCGCAGCAGAACAGATCAGAAAATGTCACAGAACACAGGGATTTCTTTTCCGCCTGCGAGTTATACTTTCTTATTCCAGGACACAGCTTTCACTCTGTAAAACTTTGTCCCCAGAGGAACTTTGAATCTGTTTTGTGCCTAAGAAGGAAAGAAAAAGAAACTCACTCACACGACCAACTTCAAGGGACCGTCCTGGACCCAGTGCTCACCGCCAGGAAGGGCGGGTGGGTGGGTGGGTGGGGGGGAGGGAGAACCCTCCAAGTCCCACGTTCCCCTGAGAACACCTGGACTGGGTTCTGTGCTCGGGCTGACTGTGTGCAAGGCACGCTCCTGCCCGCTGCGCCTACTACCCCTCACAGTCAACACATAACCGCTAGTACTCGGGAGAAAAGCCGGCAAAGGTTGCCCCTTCACCCGAATTAGTAAAAATGGGGGATGACACTGTTTTAAGTTCCAAACAGATTTCAGTACTACGCAACTGAAATTTTCCCAGTGCACGGGAGTCGAGAGCACCCGAGGAATAGGAGTGAGGAAGAGTGTCCGCCCACTGCGCTCTCTCACGCCGAGAACTAGGTGTCACGTGCAATTTTAGCTTTGAAGTCCATCACGCTGCATTTTATTTGGGGGGTGAGGGGGAGAGCACGTGAAAATAACAACGTTTCAGTGGGGGTAGCACATAAAGAAAGACAATGTCAATTCTACAAGTCAGTTCTATTTTTTTTTTTTTTTTGCTTTTTGGGTCACACCCCGCAATGCAGCAATGCACAGGCGTTATTCCTGGTTCATGCACTCAGGAGTTACCCCTGGCGGTGCCCGGGGGACCATATGGGATGCTGGGAATCGAACCCAGGTCGGCCGCATGCAAGGCAATCACTCCAGCCCCAAGTCGGCTCACTTTTAATCCCTGCTTATCTCGATACCTTCATTCTCACAAGGGCAGAGTTAGGGTGGAAACGGGCTTTATTTTTTCCTGTCTGCACAGCAGTGAGGGAAGTGACATAAATTACTTATAAGGCTGCTGCTTCAACTGCATTTTGACCAGACTCAAGTGAGCTTCAAAGCTAAGAACAGCACGAATGATAACTTCTGTGAGGCTGCATCTGGGTAACGCTTAGGCGTTACGACGGAGTCCTTACCTTTTTGGCCTGACAGTATTCCTTCTCCATGACTTTCCCAAGCACCCAGGGTCTTCTAGTTGCACCTGAAGCTGTTGAATCCAATCGTTAGTTTCTCTTTGAGAAGTACAGTTATAAAGCTCATGACTGCTGTAATAACTGAGAGACTAACAAGGTTCTCCTGAGTGAGCGAGCACGGAGAAACAGGGGCTAGTGGAATCACTGCCGTGCCTGGATGATGGGACACCGCGAATCCAGGCAGTTCGGGACTCAGTCAAGTCACAGAACTAAGAACGTTCAAGAAATGAACAAGAGCCTGGGCACAAATCGCGAACAAGAAATCTGGGAGTGAAAAGTAGCTCGACAGTGCCATCTACTGAAAGCACCAACGAAGATGGCCTTTCCGATAAAAAAAAAAGCAAAAAACAAAAACAAAAACAGAAAAAGCTCCACAACGCCAGGCAGAACTTTCACCTCCACCTCCAGGGGAGAAAGCACCTTCCTCAGGCCCGGATGAGGTCCTGCCGGCAGAGGGGGGTGGGCAGCGCCCTGTGAAGAGAACGGCAAAAGAAGACAGAAAGTTGCTGGACAACGGGAGGGAAAAGCCAGTCTCCACCGTCACAGAGGGCTGAGGAAAGTCATCAGGAAAAAAATCTGACGGAAAAGTTTCTTGCCAATAAATAACAATGACTTAAAAAAAAAAAAAACACTGCTTTTTATCATTATTATTTTTTGGCTCTTTGGGTCACACCCAGCGATGCCCAGGGGTTCCTCCTGGCTCTGCACTCAGGAATTACCCCCGGTGGCGCTCGGGGGTAATTCCTATGGGATGCTGGGAATCGATCCTGGGTCGGCTGCCTGCAAGGCTGCAAGGCAAATGCCCTCCCCGCTGTGCTGTCGCTCCAGCCCCCAACACTCTTTTTTAATCCTTAAATACCATTTGGCAAGATACGACCGAAAGATCCCGGATCATCAGAAACGAACAAACACAAAGACCGATGTGTAATTAAAGTCCCTGGACCACAGACGACCACAGTGAGCAAAGGAGCACACAGTGGATTTAGGTCGCCTGCGTCTCCGAGGACTGTGGCCGAGTGATTCTGCTGCCGCTACGGCAGCGTTAGTTACACCTTAATTTCTCAACTGTCCGGTGAAATCACTTTAATATAAAGACAAATTTTTTATTTCCTGGAAAGCCAGAAAAGCAGATTAAGCAGTATACCCGCTTACGGAAAAAGCCGGTGTTCAGAGAATGCGAGTATGCTTTTGTTAACTGCAGGAGGGGGAAGCAACAGCTTTGATCTCTCCACCCCCCCCAAGTCTACAGCTGTGGTTCCGCAGGTGACACTTACCCCCCTCGCCCGGCTTGAGGTCCAGGGCGGGCAGCGACTCTGAATGGAGGAAGTACAAGGTGGGACTGACGGTGAATAACACGTAGTTGTCGTGGCGTTCGTCGAGGATGATGAGGACGAGATCCCCCACCTGGAAACTGAAGACGGAAATCCAGGTTCACCGAGGAGTGCCTGGCACCCTACCGGGACGGGTTCGGTGCTATTCTCCAGCACCCAGCACTGTCTCCACACCACACAGTTCACTCTCTGCAGCTCTCGTGGGCGGATGGTCACAGCAGCAGGCGTCCCCGGGGCATGCCTGAAGCCCCTCCTGTCTGAGGAGGTAACTGCAGGGGGCTGAGACGCTCAGAGCCACGTGCCTGCCTTGCCAGTGCTGACTTCGCGGCTGGCAGCAGTTCCCGGCAGAGTGCAGGGAGCAGACACACGGGGCGGGTGCGGGCAGCCCTGGGCCGCAGCAAAGGGCGCCCGACCCACCGAGGGCAGGAGGAGAGGAGTCCAGAGAGCCAGCTGCGTGCCCACCCGTCCCTCACCCACAGCCAGGGCACGGGTCCAGGGAACAGAGGGGCAGGGGCGAGCCCACACCAGAAGACTGAGGCAGAGAAAAGCTCTTCTTTCTTTTCTTAAAGTTTTTTTAAGTGTCAAGCTAATTCTATTTATTTTTGGCTTTTTGGGTCACACCCACCGATGCTCAGGGGTTCCTCCTGGCTCGGCACTCAGGAATCACTCCTGGCAGTGCTCGGGGGACCCTATGGGATGCTGGGAATCGAACCCGGGTCAGCCGCGTGCAAGGCAAACACCCTCCCCCCCGCTGTGCTATCACTCCAGCCCCAGAAAAGCTTTTCTGAGGCATTAAAGTTTTTTTTTGCCTAGAATCTCTGGAAGAAACAGAAATTCATTTCACTTGGCAAACAGCTGGTCAAGAAAGTTGCCACCCGGGGCATTTAAATCTGAGGAAAAAAAAAACAAAAATTCTAATGAGAACATTAAAAAATCAATAATGGGAATCGGACAAGTAAACAATGTGGTCAACAGATTCATTATAATTGTTTCGGCTTTGGGGCCACAGCAGCTCTGCTCCAAAGGCCCCTCTGGGCAGGCCAGGGACCGAACCCTGGCTGGCGTGGGGAGGCAAGGCCCCACCCACCTCATGCTCCAGCCTATAGGAGTTTTAAGGACACTGAGTTTCCTTTCATCAGTCTCGCCAAGTACAGACTTTGACGGGTATTCACGTTTTCCTTTGTTATTCCAGGTCCTCCCTTCAACTAAAAACCCAGGCCTCAAAACAATCGACTGCTCTGGGCAATCTGGTCCAGGGACACTAATCAAATGATCAATTCAATAGTGTAGAAGAGTTTGATATCAATAAATGAAGCCTGAGGAACAAAAATAAGTAAACTCAGCCACTTTAACCCTCAAGAGTGAGCCAGAGCCTCGCGCCTGACCCAGGCTCGACCCCTCGGGCATCCTCTGGAGAAATCCCTGAGCACAGAGGCAGGAGTAAGTCTTTAGCATCAATCGCCTGGATCGACCCCCTCAAACCAAAAAAATAAAACCCATAAGAGTTCTTTGATCTCAAACCCAAAATGCAAAGGATGGGATTTTAAAGAGACAACACTGAGAGTGAACTAGAGTGAAAAGGTCTCAGAATTATCTACGTGTGAAGATGACCCAATCCTAGCAGCAACGTCTGCCCGCCGTTCCTTCCATCTTCTTGTTCCAAAGTCGAAATTTAGACGAATCTTAAGTTTTGAAGAATTTATGTTTTGATTTTTGAAGGCTTTATTTCAGGCCTATGGTTCAGGCCACGGTCACAGCCACCACCAGGCCAGCAGCTCTCACCGAGGCCACAATGTCCCCTCCGACTCTCCTCCAAACTTGAATTCTTAATTAAAAAAATAAAAAAGTTTCCTGCTAATGAGAACAAATGCCGTGCTCCCTGGGACAGCATCTCTGGGCCGGGGGATGCTGAGGCCGGCGAGGGGCCGGGCCAGGGGCCAATTCCCGAGCAGACCCGCACCACCGCCCTGCCAGGTACGAACAGAGCTTGTTTCCTGAACAAGCCCAAGTACTCGGTGCTGACTTTGTAGCATAGGAAAGTGCTATACCCAGGGGCTGGGGAGGCAGGACAGTGGGCAGTGTGGCCCCGTCAGGGCTGCCAGGAGGGGGCCCTGAGCACTTCGGGGGGTGGGGAAACCCCCAGAGGCCCAGGACTTACTCTCGAATGGCGATCTTCTCCGAGTGCCGCGCAGACACTGAAGACATGCTCTGCGACATCTGTGGAGAGATGCAGGTCATGTAGTGAGAGAGGGATGGCGCTTACGATAATGTCACCCACAGTCAGAGAGAGGCACGTCCTTACAGCAACACCTTCTCCTTATTTTCCTTTTTGGATTTTAGGCCACCACTGAATGTGCTGGGAGGCGACTCCCACCACAGTGCTCAGTCAAGAAAGGATGGATGCACCTAGCCCTGAGCATGGGGGAATGATATGGCACCTGTTTTTCTGAATGATGACTTTCGGAGGACACATTTCCCCCATCGGGTCCCCTGCGCCCTGCTGAGCATGACCCCTGAGAGCAGAGGCAGAGGAAGCCTGGTGAGGCCAGGTGTGGCCCCAAGCCCAAACCCAAACCAAGAAAAATACCGCCAGGCCTTCAACTCAAACTCTCATCGGTGGCTCCCAATTTTCTCTAAAGTTGTGCAGAGGCTTTGGTGTTGCTCTGACGCATGAGAACCATCGGCACCTCCCACACAGAGGCGGGCGGGCCCGGGGCTGGGGCTTGGAGTCCGGGTGTGACCCCGGAGCCCTGCGGGTGGTCTGCCCTGGGTGAGCTCAGAGGCACGTGGTGGGGGGAGTCTGGGCGTGAGCACTGTGACTGCCACCCACACAGGGACGGGGCACCCAGAACAAACACCACCCACGCGGCAGACTCTGAAGAACTAAAGCAGATGAGAAACCGACAGAGCAGCTGGGGCCTCCCCGGCAGGGACTCAGGGCCCGGATGCGTCGGCTTTAGGACAAGAGACGCCGACTCCAAGGACACGCCCGTGGCCCAGGAGGGGCAGTGCCCACTGCAACACGCGTCCCCACGGCATGGACACTCGCGGGGCCTCAGAAGAGACACTGAGGCAGGCCCCCGGCCACCTCCTGACCCCCTGCACCGCCCAAGGCGGCTCAGCGCTGCCCCTCGTGCCCAGGCACTCAGCAGGACACAGGAGGGACGCCTATCCCGCGAGGAGGGTCCCAGGGAGAAGCCGCCACTCACCAGCCGCTGGTTCAGCCGCTTGTTTTCTTCTTCTTTCAACTGTAACGTCTGCGGGAAGAAGAGAGACCCTATTTGTCTGAACATGCGACTTCGAGGTAATTCTTACTCTGCGTGCTATCAGGCCGGAGCGATAGCACAGCGGTAGGGCGTTTGCCTTGCACGCAGCACATGGCTGACTCGAGTTCGATTCCTCCGCCCCACTCGGAGAACGTGGCAAGCTACCGAGAGTATCTCGCCCGCATGGCAGAGCCTGGCAAGCTCCCCGGGACATATTCGATATGCCAAACACAGTAACAACAAGTCTCACGATAGAGACGTTACTGGGCCCGCTCAAGCAAATCGAGGAACAACAGGAGGACTGTGACGGTGACAGTATGAGAACAAGCTACCCTAATACAAATTGATAAGCCATGCCGATCTTTTTATGATACAGGCTTCTGATTCAGTCCTGGCAATTCAGGATAAAGCAGCTTAAAATCCCACTGCCAATTATTTATTTAATCACCAAGGTCAAGAAAATAAGAGAAGCAGGAATGAGGGCTGTGCCCAACAGCAAAGTTCAGGTCTTAGACGCGTAAGATCAAAGCACTACAAAAATTTTTACGATCGGGCTTCTCAAAACGTAACGGTGAAAAAGAATATTAAAAATGAGATCACTATAAAAGTGACAAGTATTTTCAACGTAGGACTGAAAGTCATAATAAACACTTTTTTTGGTTCCAACCGAACAGTGTCCTCTTTATGTAAAACTGCAATTTAAAAGTCCTTACTTTCTTTTTTTCATTTTTTATAATTTTATTTATTGAATCACCGTGAGAGCAGTTACAAAGCTTTCGGGTTTAAATTTCGCTCACACAAGGAAACACCTATGCCTTCACCAGTACCCATTCTCCACCACCAAAAACCCCGGTATAACCCCACCCCACACACTTTTTAAAAATTTAAGAAAACAATTTTACTTACTCGTTCTAAAAGCATTATCCTCTGTTTCTCTTCAGAAAGCATATGGATATTTTCTCTAAAAGAAAATAATTTATTTTAGTTTAAGTCTTTAAAAATTCTTAACTTTATACTCTTAGAAATTTAAATATTACTGCATTTTAAAAGTTAAGGGTTTGTACTACACTTTGAAAAGCCCCCTGCTGGAGTTAGATTTTTCGTGGAGAATGTAAGCTTTCTAACCAGAGGCCCTGAGCTTACGTTAAATCTCTGGAACCAAATTTTTCTATGTGCATTTTTTCTGGGACAGGATCTTTCATGTTTCATGCTTTGGCCTCGACCTCCAATATCAATAACTACTCTTTTCCTGTGCCACATACGTGAATCTGTATTACTGATCAAGCTCCTGAGTAATTACACCAGCAAAACTAAAAAACAAAACACAACGAATTATGAGAAAGCTACAAAACAGCAAGTACCAGTTTAAGAAAACTAAACCAAGTTTAAATGTTTCAAAGTGTTGGGCTGGAGTGATAGATAGCACAGCGGGGAGGGTGTTTGCCTTGCACGCGACCGACCCGGGTTCAATCCCCAGCATCCCACATGGTCCCCCAAGCACTGCCAGGAGTAATTTCTGAGTACATGAGCCAGAAGTAACCCTTGTGCATCGCCGGGTGTGACCCAAAAAGCAAAAAAAGTAAAAAATAAAAAATAAATGTTTCAAAGTATGACTGAGTGGCTATAACGGTTATGTGCTATTCGTGCATTTGTCTACCATATTGAAAAAATTTAAAAAAAGGAAAAGAAATGCAGTGTTGGCTTTTGTATCTTTTTTTACAGAGAGATAAAAAGCGAACTATACAAGTCTACAAAGCTAGGATTTGAAGTAGGTATTCTTGCCCCCCCCTCGAAAAAAATATGGGGGCAGGGAAGGAGTGGGGACAGCGTGAGACTGGGGGTAAACTGGTGAGTGGGGTGCCAGGAAGGAACCAAGGCTGGAAGGGCGACGGGGCCGGAGAAATAAACATTGGTTCCAATAGTTCTTTTTTTCAACTGGTGACTTAGACTTGTCTACTACAGCTCACTCAAATTTCTAGTTTCATTTTCCATATATCTATTTGGGCTGGAGCGTAGCACAGCGGGTAGGGCATTTGCCTTGCACACAGCCCACCCGGGTTCGATTCCTCTGCCCCTCTCGGAGAGCCCGGCAAGCTACCGAGAGTATCCCGCCCACAGGGCAGAGCCTGGCAAGCTCCCCGTGGTGTATTCGATATGCCATGAACAGTAACAAGTCTCACGATGGAAATGTTACTGGGCCCACTCGAGCAAATTGATGGACAACGGGAGGACAGTGCTACAATATATGCACAAGGTCAGGGTCAGGCCTACGAGGTCTGAGACGTCTCCCTACAGTGCTGGGGGCGGGGGCAGGCCCTTCCCGTGCCCTCCCCAGCCCACAGGCAGGGCTCACGTCCTCCCAATGGACCAGACCGACTCTTGCTCGTAATACTCTGAGGGCTTGAGCGATAGTACAGCAGGTAGGGTGCCTGCCCTCATGCGGTCAGCCTGGGCTTGGTCCCGGCACCTCAGATGGTCCCCGAGCACAGAGCCAGGAGGAAGCCCGGGGCCTTGCCACATGTGGCCCCCAAACCAAAAGCAAACAAAAAACCTAGAGGTGTGACCTTTTTGACTGGTCCCACATAATGTGCTTTGCATATTTTTTTTAACGCTTACATATTTAGATGTTTAGACACCCCAGTATCTAGAAGGATGTCTATGTTCACGTTCAGGGAACCTGAATTCGATCAACATTTAGAATTTAGCAACTTCCCCTACGATCTGCTCCGCAGTGCATCTTCTTAACAGATTTTCTTAACTAAATAAGTTGCTTTACTTATTTTTTTCTATTTTGCTAGGAAATGTCCTACACATCTGTGATTTTCATTCAAGTTTGAATTCATTTTTTATTCATATAAAACCTATCAAATCGTATCTTAAAGCACCCACAAGGTACTGCTTTATTAAACTGTACCTCTGTATTTAAAACTTAAAAAACTTCTCCCATTGAACAGCTTGAATCTTTCCCCTTCCTCTGTCCTGCATGCCTTGGAGACGAACCCTTCTGAAGTATTTTCCTCTGGGAATTACTCTCTGGGCAGGATATAGTTGGATTCCTCCCTCCCCTCATGTTCTGTCTGGAAAGATTGGTTTGCTTTCTGAAAACGTTTGTCACTCAGGATTTAGAATCATCACTGGTCTCTTTACGTGTTTATAGCTTGCCTTTTCAACGTTACATTTTGTTAAATCTATTATATATATATATGTATAAGTATTCATTCTTAAGCCTCGAGTCTAAAGACCCAAGTTGACCAGTTTGTAATTTTTTTTTCTTTTTGGGTCACACCTGGCGATGCACAGGGGGTTCCTCCTGGCTCACGCACTCAGGAATCATTACTGGCAGTGCTCAGGGGTCCATATGGGATGCTGGGAATCGAACCCGGGTCGGCCGCGTGCAAGGCAAACGCCCTCCCCGCTGCAGTCCCCTATCATCTTTTCTTTTGACCCAGCCAAAACCTAAAATGCTTTTCAGCTTCTGAAATCCTCCTCTGCCCCCCCGTCCCCCCCAGCCAACCTCCCTCGCCCAGCCGGCTGTGGCCCCACCGTCCCGGGACGGGGGCCCCGCAGCGCCCACGCTCCCTGCAGCAAGGACACGGCCACCCGGGCCTCTGGACAGAAGGCCACGGCCGGGACAGGCCACAGTGCCGCCCACCCCCGGGCTGCACGTACTGCACAGACATCGTGCTGGTGTCCATCGCGGAGTCCACTCTCCCGTCCTCGGCCTCGCAGGGCAGCGGCGGGGCGCAGGCCCCGCAGAGCTCGGGGGCCGAGGCGCCGTAGGGGGGGCCCAGGCTGCTCCCGCGCAGCCTGCTGACTTCCTCCTCCAGCTGCTTCTTCTCCTCCAGCAAGCGCGCCCGGTCTTCGGACAGCGACTCGATCAGATCTGAGCACCCCCCCGAGCACGGAAACGAGAGTCATGAACGGGAAGGCACCTCCACGCCGGAAGAGAACCGCACGGCCCTCCCCGAACGTCACTGACCTTTATCCCGCTCCTGCTGCTGCATCGTGGTCTTGAGCTTGTCACTGAGGTCGTTGATGATGTTTTCTTTCTTCATTTTCTCTCTGGTGAGAACGGTGTTGAAGTTGGTCTGGAACGACAGGGTTAGCGCACCCACAAAAGTCAACCTGACGGTAAGTTCTGTGTGGCTCACTTGTCTGAGAAGATGGGGTTCAGTGCTCCTTCATTTTCCCAACTGTATCTATTTTGGATGTGTGTGATTCTTTAGCTATGTCTGAGAAGATAAAACTCACAAAATGAAGCTCTTTTATTTAATTTGCTTTTTGGATCACACCCAGCAAGGCACAGGGGTCACTCCTGGCTCATGCACTCAGGCATTACTCCTGGTGGTGCTCAGGGGACCATATGGGATGCTGAGAATCAAACCTGGGTCGGTCGCGTGCAAGGTAAACGCCCTCCCCGCTGTGCTATCGCTCCAGCCCCAAGAAGCCCATTTTTAATGAAGATGTAATACTAGGGTAAGAAAGATTGTATTCTCTCCGTCCCGTATTAACAGTTGCTATTACCTTGAACAAAATTTTTTATTTCCTCACTTTGTCCAGAAATAGATTATGCCACAGGAAAAACATCAGCAAATAATTTCAGGATTTAGAAAAAAGAACACAATTTTAAAAAAGGGAGTAAGTGCTGCTTTGTGCTTCATTTTTCTCCCAGTAGTCTTCCCGCCTCCAGGTCCTGCCCTCTGCCGTCTGCCAACCCTCCACCCCACAGCAGCCTTCCAGAGCTTCCTTCCCGGGACACCCTGGCCGTGCCCAGTTCACGCCTGTTTTGACTTTGGGGCCGCCCCTGGTGAGGCTCCAAGGTCACCCCTGGGTCTGCACTCGGCTATTACTCTGCGTGGTGCTGGGGGGGGGGGGGGCTCGTGGGATACTGGAGAATGAAACCAAGGTCAGCCACATGCGAGACCAATGTCCTACCCACTGTGCTACCTGGCCAGCCCCACAGCTCCTCTCAGATAACGGGCCGAACCCCCCCCCCCCACACACACACACACACAGTTACAGACCCTCTGCATGTCTGACGGCCTCCCTTCCTCAGGAGCCAATCGGCAATCCTAACTGGAGTTTCTTTCATCAAGGTGTCCGACTGGTCAAAAACATCACTCAAGAGATCTCATTCAAGACCTCCTGAACGCTTAGAAGCAAGAGACAGTGAAGTGGCGTAAGGACTCTTCCCATCTACCGAGCAAACTCAAGAGTCCCACTCTCCTCAGCTAGGGACAGGAGCCAGCAAGAACCACCCCTTGGAAACTCTTATGCCTACGCACTAAGCCATTTCTCTATGGAGTATCGTTTACAGCTCTAGCGTATTATCCCTGGCCCGAATAACGGCAGACGCAGATCTGCTCACATCCCTGCCTGCATCTCGAAATCCCCGAAGTCCTCAGCACAGTCCAGGAGTCTTCGTTACCATGAATCTGGCTGTGCGGCCACTTTTTATTTTCCCTCCGACCACCCTCAGTACCTCGGGTGAAGTTCTGGAGTACCTAGTGTGCAAGAACTATTCACTCGTCACCACCCAGCAATTCTAGCATACACTGAACAGCACATAGTTTGACAGAAAATTAAAAAATCATCTATGTAGTAACATTAATATTTTAACTGAAAAGAAAGTCATAAAGCTGTTAAAAGGCCATTAAATTACACAACGTATTTTTTTTCCCATTTCTAATGCAGGACAATTTCATTTTGAAACATCTATCTGACATAATGATCACTAAAATATATTTATCATAAAATATTCAGTATTAATAGGATCACATAGCCAATGCCTTTATTATGAAGATCTTTGATGTTTAAAGGTCATGAGGAGAAGTATATCTTAAAAATAAGAAACTCTCAGTTCTAGAGAAATTGCATGTATGAAGCTAGATCTACCTTTCGGCCAGGACATCATGAAAAGGGTACAGGTGTTAATACCTACCTGCTGTTCTGCGATCAAAGATGTTCGGACATTCTGCATTTCCTCATTCTTTCTTTTCTCCTGCTCTTCAAGTTGTTCTAAAAATTTAGCTTTTTCTTCCTGAAGCTTTTCTTGAAGTTCAGCAACTAAGCTTACAGAATCTTCTCTAGCAGACTCGACGGCAGGACTTTAAAAATTAAATATAAAAAAACTTAAAAAGTTAAACTTAAAAAATTTAAAAAATTACTGTAGCTTTCCTTTATTTGTTATCATCACAAAGATCGCAAGCAGCATAACTAGCGGACGGCAGAGAGGCTCCACGGCTTCCTGGTGACCCCGTAACAGAGTGAAAGGGCTGTCAAAGGCCCTTCAAGGTGAACCCGGACCCTTGGAATCCATACCAAAGACAGGGAAACCGAAGGACAAGTTTAATGGAAGACCAGGGATCCCACACGAACAAGGCTGAATGTCTTCTAACCTGATCAGTTCAAGATCATCGGTTTTAATGAGCAAACGGCAGTTTTCCACACGAAAGATCAATACACGAAAAATCAACACTCCTCTCTAGAACTGAACATCAAATTTCATTTTCGGCATTTTATTAAAAACTTAGATGGTCACTAAGGTCTATAAAGAAAATGACGATGCCATATATTTTTTTTCCCCATTTTAAATTTGGAATTCCCTTGTGAGCGAAGGAGAAGCACACCACTGACGCCCAACCTTGCACTTCCCAAGGAGCAAACCGACCCCCTTCCTGAGGCCTCTTTAGAACAATCCGCAGGCGGCATCTGACAGAGAAGTTAACCTCACCTACTTTCAACTGCGTCATCTTCACATGCACACTGTTTGCGCCCGGGGCCGGGGACAGCTGAGGGCTGAAGCTCCCACCCTCCCGGCCAAGCCCGTTCCAACCCCAGCACCAGCCCGGCAGCACTTCGGGAGCCCGGCCAGCTGGGTCCCCACGACCCCAAAGCACCCACTCTTCCACCAGAGACGGAAAAATACAGCAGTCGGAGAACATTCCTCAGCCACCTGAGGAACTAAGTCAAGCCGGCTTTCTTATGTTTCTTCGGATTCTGGGTCATTCCCCAGGGGTGCTCGGTTACCCCTGCTGGTGGGCGGTGCTTGAGGACCCCCGTGGGGCGCGGGGGATTCCAACGGGGTCGTCCGCAAGGAAGGCGTGGCTTTCCCTCCGCCTCTCCCTGAACCCCCGGCTCAAGGTCTTCAGGGTTCATTTTACTCAACTGGAAGCCAGACTGTCACAGATGGAATCGGGACGCATCTTACATCTTTGGGCCACGCCTGGCAGTGCTCAGGATCATTTCTGGAGGCCGCTCGAGGAACCATACCGGGTGCTGGGGACTGCATCTTGGTCGGTGTGTCCAAAGCTGGTTGCTCCCTCTCCCTCCCACCCCCTCCCCCCAAGATAATTCTGATTCTGGGTGGTCAAAGGAGGTGCTCGGGGGCTCTCTCGGTGCTGCTGGGAGATGCTCGGCCGTGATGGAGATCACACTGGAGCAGACGCATGCCTGCTATGCACATCTTAATGCCCCACTGAGCAATTTCCTGACTCAGCTAAAAAGAGCATTGCAGTGACTGCCCGTCATACGGAAAACTCATCTACGGTTTCTTTCATACCACTTAACAATACTTCAAATTTGCCGGTAAACTTTAGTAACTCGGATAAACTGTTTTCCCTCGGGGATGGCGTTCAGAGACCCAACATGAAATGTGCAGCTCGAGACATCGTCGTTCTATCCGAGCCTGAGAGTTTGCTTGCCGTCAAGAGAGGCTGGGATGGGGAAATGAACACTACGACACGCAATGCTGAGGGGAAATGCAAAGGTCTGTTTTCCGTTGGAGGTCGAGGAGTCTGCATGCTAAAAATTAGAGCGTATACGAAAATCCGACAAGGGCTGCAAAAATCAAAATATTACTGAGTCATCCGGAAACCAATAGGGACTCAGTGTACCAACCAACAATAAAAGAACCCGGGATAAAATCAGTTAGTAGGACCTGTCGGTTACTCACCCGCCACTATGCCGACTGTTGCAAGGGACATCTAGGAGAAATCTCTCTCTAGCTACTGGGTTAGTGAACACGGGGAAACCGCACGGAGAGCAGAGGGGGTTGAGATGAGGAAGTCAGATCAGGAGCAACAAATAGTCTTCATTTTTAAGTACAATGCAAAGCACTTTGTCTAGACCCTAGATTTTGCAAGAGTGTGTGTTTCGCTTCAAACATATAGAGCCCCGGGTTCAAGCCCCGTATGCACACACATTTAGGATATAGTGGAAAGTTTGGGTTTGGGGAAGACCCTGATGAGGACACTGGTCAATACACTCATGCAGAGAATAAGTATGAAGTGAAAAGTATTTCAGCGTGGCAAAGGGCACTAAGAACACTGAAGAAAATGAAGCTGTGATTCAAAATGCATGTGTGCACCTACAAAAGCTAAGTGCTTACGGTTTCTAGAGCCCTCTCAACTGCCCGGCGGACTCCGGGAAGCGTTGTCCTGTGTTACGGCCAGTGCTATGCTGAGTGGCAGAAGGGCTACAAATCCAGGGACAAACACCACTGTCTCTGTAAACACACAATCACCCGACTACGAGACTGAGCACTGGATAATTACTGTGACTGCTTGAGCGGGCTCAGTAACGTCTCCATCGTGAGACTTGTTGTTACTGCGTCTGGCATATCGAATACGTCACGGGGAGTTTGTCAGGCTTTGCTGTGCGGGCGAAATACTCTCGGTAGCTTGCCGGGCTCTCTGAGAGGGGTGGAGGAATCGAACCCGGCTCGGCCGGGCTGGCTGTGCACAAGGCAAACGCCCTACGGCTGTGCTATCGCACCACCGGAATAATTAGCACAAGGTATATGCAGCAAAGACATTGTGTTGGTAAACACAAAGAAAGCAAAGCTTGAAACACTAATGGGCATTATGGAAAGACTGACCCATAGTGTACTTTCTGGGGGCCTCTTATTATTATCATCCTAAACAGAAGTGTATACTACATCACACTGCTTGAAGCTCTCTGTGGGAAATATTCCAGGTGACATTATCTTATTTCACATTCCCGCAGACTCAGAATGGCTCTGACAACACAGGGAATCAGCCTTAGTAATAAAACTACAGGTACCACAAGTTTTGTTTAATCAACACCAGAATGCTTGGGTTCCTTCGGGATTCTGGAGCCAGGATTCTGTTGGTGGGAGGAAACACGTGAAGAAACAATGCCCTTTAAAGAGCCTGGACCAGAGAACTCAAGGACAGACACGCTGGTGACAGAGTGGGGCTCTCACAGAGCCCGGAGTGTCCGTCACAGTTACCCCAGGACAGCAAGGGTTTTTTATTGTGCCCGACATTCCTAGGGAGCAGACCTGCACTAGACTGTGCTGATGCTGAAATTCTACCGCTGACCTGGGGCCAGCTGACGAGAGAAGTGTCACTCTGAGGGGAAATCAGGGATTCAAGTGCCTAAGCGGCAGTGCTGCTGTCCTTGCCCAGGGCCAGCACAGACTCCCCAGAGCACGCCTGTGACCGGTCAGCAAGTTCTCAAGACACTGGGAACCAGATGCACATTTATTCGTCACTTATTTGTACAGGTCAGTCTTTCCCCCTAAATTCTCAAGATAATTTGACTGCTGATTTATTTTCCCATTATATGAAAACTGTCCTCCCGTAGTTCACCGATTTGCTCGAGCGGGCCCAGTAACGTCTCCATCGTGAGACTTGTTGTTACTGTGTTTGGCATATCGAATACGTCATGGGGAGCTCACCGGGCTTTGCCATGCAGGTGAGATGCTCTCGGTAGCTTGCAGGCTCTCCAAGAGGGGCGGAGGAACCGACTCAGGTTGGCCCAGTTGGCCACATGCAAGGCAAACACCCTCCCCGCTGGGCTATCCCTCCCTCCAGCCCAGAAGATGCTTAAAAACGGGCACGTCTGTGACGCCAAGTTGTAAACAACTACTCACAAAGCGGCTGTTATTTCTCTTAATTATTTTTAAATTTTCATTTTAATGATACTATTGGCCTTAATGTTAATAGCTTTTATTTTTACTATTTCATCTGTTTATATCCTCCCCACATTTTCTTAATGAGTCATTGACTAGGGAGAACCCTGACATTCCCTATCTACGTGAAATCTGTAGTGACCCCTTACAAACGACCCTCCCAGGTGGTCACTCAGTGCTGCGCCCGCCACATACGCCACCTGCAGGGTAGCCTAAGGGAGAGAGACGTGTTGGTGTGTGCGCTGTTTCACCGATCACTTCTTTTTTAAGGTTTCTTTCTGATTTTTCTCAGCATAAATATTTTTGGTCTTATTCCCTCCGCATAATTTTGAATTCCTCCCCCAGAAAGTTCTGGGTTCAAACTGGCCATCCAAGGTCTGGAATTGTCTCCTGCAGTCCCGGCGAGGCGCGTCCTCGGAAACCTCTTCCCTCGGGCTCTCCCTGCGAGAACAGCCAGAGCCACCTCCGGAGAGGGACAGGCTGACTGCAGTACCCCGGAGTTCTTCAAAACCCACAGCGATTTCTGGATTAGCACCAGTTCTGGTGCTTCCATGAATCGGAACCAACTTGAAGGATTTAGACAGCAGTTCCCGTCCTACTTGTAAAATTCGAAATAAGGATTTTAGGGGGAAGGGGAAAGCGCAGGAGCGTGAGTGAGAGCTGGAATGTTCTGAGGGAACAGAACACTGGTGCACCGGGCGCTGGTGGGACAGACGGCTCACCACCTGCTCGCCGGAGATCACGTAAGAGGCAGAGCTCTGGGCGACGGCCCAACTGCCCCAAATTCCACCCAGGCTTTTCTCCACAGGCAGCAGCAGCCCCTCCTCTCTTGCGTGGAACCAGTGCTGGGGACTTGAGGTGCCCCCTCGGGACGTCTCAGATGCACAGTCCAGACTCACGGCCACCCAGGTCCCAGGGAGTGAAGGACCCAACTCGACGGGGCCTTTGGATCTTAAGAGATTTCATTTATTTCGAAGTAAACCTGGAAAAATACAGCAATGAATCCAACAGGAGTAAAACAGGAAGGAAAAACCAGGTGGATCAGGACGAATCCTTTTCACGTGCCTATTGACCAGAACTGCAATCCTACGTTCGATGCTGGATCCCGACGGCCAAGTTCTGATCTACTCTAGGGCCAACAAAGAGAAGCGCTGCCCCTGCAAGACCACACGCCCGAGACCGCAAGTGACTGCCACTGTGCGCTGGAACCCTCACAGAGGGGCAAGGAAAATGACGTAACGTGGAGTGACAAAACCCCTGGCAGCCCTCTCGGCTCCTGGCAGGGCTTGGGGCGGGGGTCAAGGGGCATATGAAGTACCAGAAATCAAACCCCGGTCAAGGCAGGTGTCCAGCCCACGGCATTTTTTCTCTCTGACCCCACACATACACACACGCACACACACACACACACACACACACACAAAACCCACTTATTAAAAAACGTATAATTTGGTGGATGGGGTGGGGTGGGGGGGAAGGCCCAGCCCACACCCAGCTGTGCTCGGGGGTCACTCAGACAGGGCTAGGGGGACCATATGGCTAGGGCCAGCCAGAACCCGGGCCAGCTGCATGCAAGGAGTGCTCTACCTGCCGTACTATCACTCTATTCAAATTATCACTGAGTTTCGGGAAATGTTTAAGTGGCATACCAATTTTGTATACCTGAGGTCATGTAATACTTTCTTGAAGAAAAAAAAAAGAGGTTCTAAGAGTAACGTTTAAGCTGTTCTTTAGACCACAGGTAAGCAACTAAGGGCGTGCAGGCCAGATCTCGCCTGCGACCTGTTTATGGAATTCCGTTTCACATCCATTCACGCGCAATGCCATAGTGCTCTCTTGCCAGGCTGGTCGTTGAGTAGCTTGGACAGAGATCAGCCACAAAATCGAAAAGACTTACAACCTGGCACTTTACACCGAGAACGTGCCAACCACTCTCAACATGGGATCCCCCAGGAACTTTCTGGGACATGGCAAGGGGAAGGATCTTCAGGGTAACACCAGACGGTATGTCCTTCCCACCTGATGGTGGCAGACCAGGAACTGAGATCACCAACACGTTGCACGTTTAGTCCTGGTATCCTTCACTCTTTCCGTGAGAAAGGGAAAGAGCAGGTGATCTTGGAATAACCGCGACGTGGTCACTCGGAGCCCCTGGCCAGCGCTTCTCGCATGCGCCTGCCACTGCTCCAGGGGGGCTGGGCTACCCGGCGTTCTTCATGCCACGCTCTTTTTCTGTACAAAATGACAATCCTTGGTCATCAAGACCCTGGGCTGCTCATACACAGTTTCTTAGAAACGATCTATGTGCGCCTGGTTTCACGATGACAACAGAGCCAGGCCCGGACCTGGCCCCGGGCCCCAGGCGGCAGAGCTGAGGCAGGAGGAAGCGCCCAGCACCGCCAGGTGCGGCCCCCAACAACGAAGAGGATTCATCACTCACGAACAAGGGACACTCTACAAATGGAAGTTTTATCAAGTGTGTATCTGACACTGAAAGGACAACATGTATCAAGTGGGTGAGTATGTGTGACGCCACTGGAAACCGTGCCAGGGCCGAGAGAGCTCAAAGGGGGAAGTCGGGGGGACTGGCACCATCTCCGTGCCCCTCCAGCAGACCCTAAGCAACCTGGGTGTGGCTCCGAATAAACACACGCACGTCCAACTGCGAGAAGAGAAGCCGCTGGGGCGCACACACCGGCACATCGGAGACCCGCCTCGGTGCTGGTCAAATGACTGCCCCGTGGCGCTAGGGGTTATGCACGAGCGATACACCGACGGGGAGCGCAAGGGCCCAGCAGACACGAGTTAACAGGGGTCTGGAGCCGGCACCAATTATGCAGACACAGTTCCACCACGGAACCCACGCTTAGGAAACCGTCCCCTGCTGGAACCGCATTTCTCATCAGAAGTGAAAACCACCAGTGAGCCCCCAGAAGGGCTACTTTCGACATTCCTCTTTTCCACACACAAGTGAACAGCTGTATTTTCATCGTACGCGTCAATCGGTTACTTGAGCAGAATGAAAACAGGAGCGAATGAGAACCCTGTAAGTCAAACCAAGACAGAAAACAAAGCCAGCTCCTCTAGTTCCCATTCTCACTTCCCACGAAAGCGACGACAAATATTTGTGCTAACAGTAGTTGATAGTTTTATACGACTCTCTTCTAAATGTGAATCTCTACTACACAAAACGTCAATATGATTCGTTTATTCAACAAACTGCTTTTGGGTCACCAGTGGCTTTTGAGTGGACACAAAGGTCTTGAGACCAAAGGAAGAAAACCCCATGAGCACGGCCTTTACACAAACCACATGAGCATGGCTTTTACACATGGCAAAGGGAGCACAAACGGAGATATGTGACACATCTTACAATGCTTGCTGTCTAGACTTTTTCAAATCAGACCCAATGCCGTTCAGTCCAGAGGAAGGCAGCTCGGGAACGACACACGGACGGGAAGGCGCTCAGATCACGGGGCCCCAACGCTGCCAGGCCACGCGGGTGAGGGTGCACCTGGAGCTGAAGGCCACGGAAACAGATTCAGCGATGACTCTGGCACCTCGTCCTGATTTTTAAAGACGTTTCCCCTACGTCCCCCTCTCCCCACCCCTACTTCTGACGGCAGTTGTTTTCCCTTGGCCCGAAACACCCCCAGGAGACTGCGTCTGCACAGATGGAGAACGGGCATTCACTCTACACTGACGGGGATCGTGGGTCACTTGGAGCCGTGGGTGAGGCATCTCTGACCCCAGGACCTAGGACATAGGCAAGGGGAATCACAGTAGACAGAAGCAGGACGTTTCAAGTGTCTTTATTTTGAAATTTCATTCCGGGCAGAGGCGGCCTGGAGGGCGGCTTGGTCTGAAAGGGTCTTTGGTGCCTGGTGCTTGCTAGCCCGCCGGTGCCCTTCCCGTCCACATTCCGTCTGGACAATGACGCCGTCTTTATTTCCCGGAAGCGCCAATGAAATTTCAAGTTTGTCAAGGAAAGAAACACGCGAAAACTTTGGAAAGAAGAAAGGCAGCTGGGCGACCTGCAGAGTGCCTCGGCCAGATGTGGTTTCGGTCGAGGTTTAAGGGCCACTGAGGGCTACCGCGGAACTGCAGCGGGGGCTCCAGAGACCTTCCTGAGGGTCCAAGCAGCTTCTCAGGGCCATGGAGAGCCACGGACTCGCTTCAGCTTCTGTTTTCCCGTGATTTCCCTGAGGGCGTTCCTGGCCTCCAACACTCCAAACCTTTGCCCTTCGCTCGGTAAACATTCACACAGGTCCGGCGGCTACATTCAACCCCTACCCCACCTCAAGTACAGACATTCTGTTCTCAGGACAGGTAGACTTAACTGGAACCCATCTGTGAGTCCCACACAGCAGGGCCATCACAGAGAGGATGATGCCAGGAGGAACATATATCTATATGTAGATATATATGTATATCCCTACAAATATCCCTTACAAACTTGTAAGAATGATAGAATGATAACGTCCTAGAAAACTTTATTATACTACGAAACCCCCACAAATGTTAAAGGTCAGAAACACCGCACCATTTTCTCTGATCAAAAACATCATGTAGTAACAAAATCAAGATACAAAACCCCCAAAAAGATCACTGTACAGAACCTGGAATTTAAAAACATAATCTTCTGAACCAGAGGAAATAAATAAAATTGTAATATAAAGAAAATAACAATCATGTAATGCTGTACATCTGTACAACGAGGCTATGTAACGCCGAAGACTGCTCGGAGGCAACTGTCACGATCTTAAGCCACATAAGCACCGAAATGATCCGTTTCCATATTCACGTAAGGTAATGAGTAAATCAAGGCACTACGATTCAGACACAATTAAAACGGAACTGGCTGCATTTCATGATTACAAATTAAAGTGAATTCTTACCTTTTTGCTATCTGAGTCTCAAGGTGCTTAACTTTTTCTAACAACTCTTTCTCAACCGCTTCTCGCTCCAATTTAAATTCCTTGAGGGCAGCCTGAACTGCTTCTTCCTTCTCACCGGTGAGCTTCTGAATCAGCTGTTCTCTGTCCTGTTCCTGGCTCACGACAAACCCCTCTCTGTCTTTCTCCAGTTTCTGGATGATAGCTTCGTACCTCTCTTCTTGTTGGCTCATTTTTTCATCTTTCTGTTTTTCAAGAGCTTTCAACTCGGAGTCCAATTTTCTCTGCAGTTCGCCGATCTCTTCTTTCAGCTTCTTTTCTATCTCAAAGGCTTGATGATGCAAAGAGGTCACCTTGCTTAGCTCCGCTTTAAGCAGATCGGACTCTTCTTCGTGTCTGCTGATCAACTCTGAAATGCACTGATCTTTCTCGATGGTCATCAAAGTCCTCAACTCCCCCAGGCCCACCTGATAGCTCTCGTTGTTATCCTGGATCTTCTGGCGAAGCTGGCCGATTTCCGTTCTCAGGTTCTCCGTCTCCTGCGCCAGGAGGGACTTCAGGGTCTCCTTCTGCTGGGCTTTGCTCTCTTCCAGCAGCATCTTCATCTCATCCGTCTCGGCTTCCTTCAGCGCCAGCTCCACCTCGAGCTTGCACCTCGTGTCGGACAGGCTGGAGACCTTCCGCTTCAGCTCCTGCAGCTGCTGCTCCTTCTCCTGCGTGGCGGCGGCGTGGGACGCTTGGATCTGCTCGATCCGCTGCTGGCTGTCCCGCCTCAGCTCCTCCAGGGACTCCCGGTGGTCGGCGCGGGCCCGCTCGAGCTCCTGGGCGTGCCGGCCCTGCAGGCTGTCCTCCAGCTCCCGGAGGCGGCTCTGCTCCAGGCTCCCGAGCTCCGCCCTCAGCAGCGCCAGCTTCTCGGCGTTCTCCGCCTGCGCCTTCTTCAAGTCTTCCAGCGCCGTGGCCCGGGACTGCCGGAGCTCGCTGATCTCGCGGTCTTGCGTCTGCATGATCTTCTCCATCTCTAGTAGCTTCTGCTCCTTTTCGGTCTGCAGGCAGATGACGGCTTCTTTTTCGTGCTTCACCAGCGCAAACTCGTTATCTTTGTTCTGCAAGACCTCCTCGAGGCAGACCAGCTCGCCTTTCAATTTTTTGATTTTGTTTTCGCTTTCCTCGCTCTCCTTCAGTAGTGTCTCGAGTTTACCTTCGTACTCACTCTTCAAAGACTGTAGTTCGCGCTGGTGCTTTCCCGTTAGTGTTGCTTCCAGGGAGCATCTGACTTTCTCAATAATGTTCCGTATTTCTACAGCTGTGCACTTGAGAGAATTCGAGAAGTCACACTGCTCTTTCTGCACCAATGTTCGGAAGTGGCAGAGGTCCTCCTTAATGGTCTGGATGCTGAAGTGAGAGTCGTGGGCCACCGCGCGGCATCTCTCCAGCCGGGCGGTGAGAGCGTGGTCTCCCGAATCCTCCTTCCCACACACGTTCGTATCCTGCATGCGCCTGCTGTCTATTGCGTTGATGACCGACGAGTACAGGGACTCCACCATCATCTCTGGGCTCTGCGGGTCGCTGATGGGGTTCGGGGACGAAAGGTTCTCCTCTATCACGAACTCGTTCACCGCAGACATGAAGTCCGACTCGGGGCTCTCGGCTAAGGAGTCCAGGTCTAAGGACGCCTGGTGAATCGTCTGCTCTATGTTGGGGTGGGGGATGGTCTCAAAGTCAAAGGTATGTGCGTCGATGCTGTCCGGAGACAACTCTTCCAGGGGGCAGACCGCAGGGCACAGGGGGTCCTGGACAGTGAGCGGAGGAGGGCTTCTCGGTGAGGTAGTAGTTGTGGTCCCCGGCGCGCTTTCCCTCCGGGGCGAGGAGGCGGACTGGGGGGAAGTCGGACCCACGGACGCCTGCAAAGACAGGGACAGCTTTAGGACGGGGCGGCGGCACAAACACTTCCCACTCACAAAGTAAATGACCACAAGCAGCGGCATTTGCCTTTTGTTCACTCAGCAGGTCTGTGATGGTCTGGGACATCTCGTCCAAACTCTGGGCTGCCTTGACCAGGTTGTGGAGCGCGAGAACGTGCTGGTGTAGCGGTTCAAAGTCACAGAGTAAAGGGACCCTGGAACAGAAGGTGACAAAAGCAGGTGTTTTATTTCTTAACCAAACAACGGCCAAGCAGATACACAACTTAAATCCACGCTGGAGTAACTGCGGCAAAGACACCATCGGTTAAGTGTTCAGTAAGAAACCTCCCACGGTTAGGAGGACTGGCCGACGGTCGGAACCGACCACGAGTGTGTGTGGGGCTGAGGGTAGGTGAGACAGAGAAGAGACCAGGGTGGCGATAATAGCTGGGGACGACCACACTGGACAAGAGCGGAGGGTTAAAAGTAGGTAAGGGGGACGGGGGAGGGCTGGAGCAATACCGCTGCGGGGAGGGTGTTTGCCTTGCACACGGCCGACCCAGGTTCGATTCCCAGCATCCCATCTGGTCCCCTGAGCACTGCCAGGGGTAATTACTGAGCGCAGAGCCAGGAGGAATCCCTGTGCATTGCCCGGTGTGACCCCCCACCCAAAAAAAAGATGATAAATAAATGAAAGTAGGTAAGGGATACTCCTGGGAACCTTTCAGTATCAATATTGCAAACCACAATGCCCAGAAGGAGAAAGACGGAGGGAATGGGAGAGGGAGAGATACAGAGGGAGAGGGAGAGAGGGAGAGAGATCGATTGATCCTGGGGGAAAAAAAAAGAAATCTTCCACAATATTCAAAGTAAACATAACTACTAAATAATAAAACACTACTTGTAGATAAGGCATCATTTTCTAGTCCCAAAAATTTCCTAAAAAAGCAAAAATCGCCGTGAAACATTTCTTTATCCTGGTATCTCTCAAGAGAACTCACGCTACTTTGCAGAGTTTAAAAAAGGGAACGACTCTGAGAGTGGGGCCCGAGGGTCCCAGCGTGGGCCAAGCCTCGAAGACTGATGTGAGCTCAATCCCCAAGGCGCGCCCAGGAGTGTTCCCGGAGCAGAGCCGGGAGTAAGCTCTGAGCACGGCTGTGTGCCTGCGGCCCCCAAACGCTTCACATGGGAAGTGGGTCAGAGGTTGGAGTGACATCCTGAGGCCCGGGCGACCAGGCAACTGTCTCCTGCCAGCTCTCGGGCACTGCTGACAGAGGCCCAGGCCCGCGCGCACAGGATGGGACGGGGGTCTCTGCCCGCACCCTGAGCCCAGCAGCGCCGAGCCATGCTCGGAAGCCCCCGCCCCCAAACAGAACAGAATCAGACGTACCTGAGGAATGGCTGAACTTCTGAGGGACAAAATGATTGCAGGAACTGTAAATCTTTCAATGAAATATCTGGAAGTTCACAGTCAAACTTTCGAGGCTTCTGAGTCTGTACAGAAAAAAGAACCGATCAAAATAGACACAGGTCACCACTATCAATGCTTTTTTCATTGTAATTAAATTCAATAAGCAAAAGGTTCAAAGTTGAACATGACTGACACTCAATGCAGCACCAAAAACAAAGAGCGATTCAAGGACAACCCTGGGCTAAGCCTGAATTGACCTACACACACCAGGCCCCGGAGCCTTTCCCCGGGGGCTAATCAAAAAACCTCCCAAGAGAGGAAGTAGCTCCCCAAAGTTTTCAGCTCATGGTTGAAACAGCCAGGGCCCGGGACAGGGGGCGGCCAGTCCCAGGCCTGCCCTCACGGCGCCCCTGCGGGCGGTCCAAAGCCGCCACCGAGTCTCCAGCCAGGCTCCACTCTCTGGGAGCAAGTGGCACACGGAAAGTCACCTGCTGAAAATTCAGGCATGCGCGCCTGAGGCAGAAAGCTGCAGGCCACCTGCCCCGCTCCCACGGCCACACCCCACAGCTGCCGCCCAGCTCAACCCAACTCCAGGGGCACCCTGCGGTGAAGAGCTCTGGGCTCCCTGCAGGACAGAGCCAAGCTCGACAGCACGGCACCCCGGGAGGAGCACGGCAGGTGGGACGGGACGTGGCGGAGAAGGCGACCGGCCACTACCGACAAAACAGAAACACAGAAAGCAGGCCCTGGTCATGCCACGAACCCCCACAGGAGGAATCAACGTCTGCACCGCGAGACACAGCAATTTACACGGATTTTCTTCGAAGGGAATATTTTTTTTAATCAGGATTTTCTGTTAGCAGTTCAGTGGTAACAAGTAATCTCGAATAAATCGCGGTGGGCCTACTATGGGGTAGGCTGGGAAGGTGGGAGACTGGAGACAACGGTGCTGGGACTGTGTTGGAATACCGAATGCTGAAACGAATCGGCATGCACGACTTTGCAGACAGCAAAGTGTACATAAAGTGCAGGGGGAAAGTTTTACATGATAATTGTAACTATTTCATGTAAGCTCCAAAATAATTAGCACAGGATTTCTGTACAAGTTTTACTAATGACAGGTAAAGCACGATCATTTCCATAATGAGATCCAAATGTAAAATAAAACTTAGTGCGATATGCTTTAGATCCCAGAGTCGAAAACTCAGGTAAATGAGAATAAGCATTTTCTTATACTGTGTGAAAGGGTTCTATTTTCCTTACTTACACAGGTAAGAAGAATCATACAGCAGTCACAAATTGCTTCTTACGGATTTACTTCCTGACCATTCTGTCTGCCATTTCTTAAAATTTTGTTGGAATAAGCCAAATGAAGTGAAGATACTCTACTTCCGAAACAGAAGCCCGGGATCAAAGCAGCTGTATAGCGGGGCGGGTCTTGCCACGCACGCCAGCCCAGCACCCGCATGGCGCTCTGACCACGACCAGCGTGACCCAAGAACCACAAGTGAAAGTCTAAACACAGAAGAGAGCGCCATGGATTTAAAATCATACATACACAAAAGGAGGGAGGCCAGGAGTCCAATCCCCTAAACAGGCGATTTCTTAGGAAAGATTTCCCTGCGGAAAGAAATTAACAGTGTGGTTATTTTCTAATTGTAAGGTTAAAAAGTAACGAGTTTGGGGGAAGCAAAAAAAAAAATCTTGGGTCATATTTAAAATGTAACAGCTCAAGAAACCTTAATGTATATCAAGAGCTCAATGGCACTATCACATAAAGATCCATGCCAATAACATAAAAAAAGCTTGTCTTCAGAAATTAAATTTTTAGGGGCCACAGCGATGAAGCAGAGTGGGTAGGGCATTTGCCTTGCAAACGGGCACCCCAGGTTTCATACTCGGCATCCCACAGGGTCCCCTGAACCCACCAGGAGTGATCCCTGAACACAGAGCCAAGAGTAAGCCTTTAGCATGACGAGGTATGGCACCGAGCCAACTCCCCAAAACTACGTATTAATTATAAACACTCACTGAATAGTTTCCCAAAGGACTCCCTTTTTGACTTTTCAGCTTCATATAATCGCTTTCCATCCTTCACTAAAGCACCAGCCCACTGAGGGAAAAACAAACAAACAAAAAAACATGTTATCACAATCAATTCATTAAGGCTCCTGTCTAATGAAGAGAATTCAATTTGCATACCTCCCTGTAGTGTTTTATGAACATTTTCCTCCTGACTACCTCGACGACAGCTAAGCAGTACATCTGTGGAACTGTACTCAGAGCTTCGACGATTCTGACTCTTTCCAACAGCTCGATCACGAGGCGGAGCAAAGCCTGCAGTTTCTCTCCATCCTGGTCGGCATGAAGCATCACAAAGCAACACCACCTGCACGACCAAACCAAGACGCGCAAACCCCTGAGTTCCGAGACAGTCAATCAATCCGACACACCTCACTTAGGAGAAATAAAAGTATCAATGCTAAGCACCCTCAATCAAACAGGACAGAATCACTTACTTCAGTCTGACGTGAAGGTTATTAGCTAGTTCTTGTTTGGCAGTGGTACACTTCTGTTTAATATCCAACAGTTTTCTATGATTTTGTAACATAATCATCAGCTGATTCGCATGACTCAAGCACAAATCAGGTAATACAGACGCATCTTTCAAGTTTTCAGCTCTCATCTGATTAGCTAAAAATCCCTTGGAGAGAAAAATGTTTAAAGGATATTAACTCGAATCTAGAAAAATAAACACCCAGGAGAACAATCTGCGTTAAATATGACCCGTTCTACTTTTGAATGACACTTTCAAACCCCCACTTTCCCAAGCGCGGCAGGTGTGTTTACAGGACACACCCACAGCTTCAGACTCCCACCAGCTCATCTTGTTCCACTTGCAATTGAGAAAAAAGTGAAAGCCAGGAACTCCAATGACACACTTACCTAGAAGTGTAGGTGTGCAGACCCCTTATAACTGGTCTGCGTGGGACGCAGAATAACGGCAAATGGCACAATCTAACCAAAGGCATTCAATAGTATAATACTGTATACGTCGACAATTTAAAAAATCATTGTCTTTGCACCATTAACTAAGAAGTTAATTTGCTCTGCAGCAATTCTCAACTGTATTTTTCTGTGTATTAGTGTCAGCATCTTTAGAAACATCAACTACACTATCAGACCTTAGCACATCTGTTATTTAGAAGGAAAATAATTTTTATATGGTTTTCTTGGCCACCCTACTCATTTTCAGAGATGGACTCTACACCACTACTTTGCCAAAAAGAAATGATGCTTAGACTCTAAATTAAGTTAAATACACCATACTTAAGCCTTCTTCTGTATGTGGCACTTCAGCCAACATGGCCGACCCGAGTTCGATTCCTCCGCCCCTCTCGGAGAGCCCGGCAAGCTACCGAGAGTATCTCGCCCGCACGGCAGAGCCTGGCAAGCTACCCGTGGCGTATTCAATATGCCAGACACAGTAACAACAAAAGTCTCATGATGGAGACGTTACTGGGCCCGCTCGAGCAAAACTGATGAACAACAGGAGGACAGTGACAGTGACAGTGACAGTACTAATAGGCTATTCTCAACTCCACAGTTCTCGGGGCTTACTCTTGGCTCTACACTCAGGAATCACTCCCGAAAGGACTTCAAAACCCTGGAGGTGCCGGAATTGAACCTCAGTTGGCTGTGTGCATGACACTGCCAAGCCACTGAAGGCGATCTTATGTGGCAGTTTCGTTATCAAAATGCTCAACTGCAGCTTTCATTTTACGTATTTAAAACTTTCTGTAGTGTTATTTCAGTGTGTCTACTTCATAATAAAAAGCAGTTACAAATGATTATCACTGTATCACTGTCATCCCGTTACTCATCGATTTCCTCAAGCAGGCCCCAGTAACGTCTCCATTCGTCCTAGCCCTGAGATTTTAGCAAGTGCCACATTCGAGGTTCTTTCAGGATCAGGGGAACGAGACCCATCATTGTTACTGGGTTCTGGCACATTGAATACACCACGGGGAGCTTGCCAGACTCTGCCATGTGGGCAGGATACTTTTGGTACCCTGCCGGGTTCTCCAAGAGCGAGAACTAGACAATAAGAGGTCGCGCGGCTGCGAATGCTTTAGACAAATGTCTATAAACCTGCTTTCAATAAAATAAATTCTTTATTAAATACACCATCTTCCATGCAACTAGGTGAAAAATCCTTGACATCCTTTAGTACTACTATTTTTTCTGTGAAGTTAGGATTTGACAGTTCCATGCTCTGTATGGTCAAAAGAAAATCACCGAGCAGACTGAGAAAACTGAGAGCGGATCTTCAAACTCTACTACGTTCTGAACTTTGCTAGACTAATAAGAAGTCAACTATTATGGCAATATTCTAGAGAAGTAACAATGACCTGCCACTTCCTACAGTACTCACAGCCCCCTTCAATATACATTACATGAACTTTCCTTTTTTCCTTTTTGGGTCACACCCAGCGATGCTCAGGGGTTCCTCCTGGCTTTGCACTCAGGAGTTACTCCTGGCAGTGCTCAGGGGACCATATGGGATGCTGGGAGTCGAACTGGGGTCGGCCACATGCAAGGCAAACGCCCCACCCGCTGTGTTATTGCTGCAGACCCATTATATGAACTTTTGGGGAGAAAAGATTCCCTGTTATTTCTAACTGTGTTAGCAGTCTTCAAAAAAAGGCAACTAGAGAAATAATTCATACTAAGTAAGTTGTCTAGGTTTCTGAAGATTGATGAAGTTTCTCTGCTAAGTCAAACAAAAAACATCCTAAAGACGTGACTTACTCTTTTAGAGCTGTTTGATGTGGTCTTGACCATGGAAGATCTCCAGAATAAACCCCTTTCCGTGACTCCTTCCCCTTTCTTTGCTGGAGACTATTCAAGCTCTCACCACTCTTCCCCCTCTAACGAATAATACTCAGAAAATACGACTGAGCTGACCAAGACTACAAGGTCAGCAAAGGATGTCCAGGGAAAGAAGTTTCAGGGAAATTCTCTCTACATCCCCCCCAAAGCCAGGCGTGCCCGTGGCCCCTTCAGCATGTCAGTCACCCACGTCGTGTGTGTGCCCCCTCCCCACTTGGAGTCTCTATCGAGTCCAGCTGATCGGCGTCTCCCTCTGATGCCTAGATTTCTTTCTTACAGTTTTGCTTCCAGCATGTGATCAGACAATCCAGGTGTATAAATGTATCCGTATATTACAGAAGAATATAAACAAAACTCACTGAGTAATGAACTGGATGTCCAAGCTGTACTACTTCAGTAGAAAATTAGTGAAAAAAAAATTACTAAAATGTACAAATAATTAATTTGGTTAGAATAAGGTATTTCAATTTTAGTATATGTGCTGCCGAAGCGAGATATCGCTGGAGCGATAGCACAGCGGTAGGGCGTTTGCCTTGCACGCAGCCAACATGGCCGACCCGAGTTCGATTCCTCCGCCCCTCTCGGAGAGCCCGGCAAGCTACCGAGAGTATCTCACCCACACGGCAGAGCCTGGCAAGCTCCCCGTGACGTATTCGATATGCCAGACACAGTAACAACAAAGTCTCCAATGGAGACGTTACTGGGCCCGCTCGAGCAAATCGATGATCAACGGGAGGGCCTTTACCTTATCTTTAAGGTATTTCAAGGGTTCAATCCTGTAAGCCTCTGCAGCTGAGAACGCCAACAAAAGCTGCCAATAATTTAGACATGAAGACGTCTACTTCTAGCACAAGACATCAAACACTCAATGTCCCCAAGATCACTATACGGAATATTGTAGTAACACTGAATTTTACATTGGTCTGTACTCGGGACTGTTTCAAGATCAAGCCGGGAATATGGCCTAATGGGAGAGGCCTTGTACATGAGACCCGGCTACACTCGATGTCAAAAAAAAGTTGACAGGTCGGAAACGCAGCAACAAGAGCTTCAGTTATTGACTCTTCGAAATTGCAGTTCTCTCTTTTGGTTATAAATCTTTTTTTTTTTTTGAGGGGGGGTATAAATTCTTTTGGTTATTTACTGACAGGAGTAATTTCTGAGTGCAGAGCCAGGAGTAACCCCTAAGCATCGCTAGGTATGACCCAAAAAGCAACAACAACAACAACAAAAAATCTTGGGACACTGCTGTAAATCAGACGACAAAATCCAAATTTTAAGGCAAACGCCCTACCCGCTGTGCTATCACTCCAGCCCCTAAAATTCGGTGCCTTACACGCAGTGGACCCGGGTTCAATTCCCAGCATCCCATATGGTCCCCTGAGCACCGGCCCCGCCAGAAGTAATTCCTGAGTGCAGAGCCAGGAGTAACCCCTTGAGCGCTGTAAAGCGGGGAAAAACATCCAAATTTTAGTTCAATCTTGAAGACTTTATATTTTTCTTGTGCTTTGGGAAAAAAATTGCGTGTTTCTTTTGACTTTTTTGATTTTTGCAGTGGGGGGGGCTAGAGGTACTCAACTACTCAAACGATCACCTTACAACATTCATCAAGACATGCAAAGATCGATTCTGGGCTGCTCAAAGCACTTCCCTAGTTTTATCCCTTCGCTGGCATCTAGCTTCGGCTCACTCTGACAAAACTAAACGCCAAGGGCATGCCTCTTTGTTACACGGAAACAACAGTGGCGCATTAGCAATATCCAGGCGCACGCCACACTCCCAGGGAGGCCGAGGAAAGACCTTCCAGAACCCCACCAGCTCCCCCTCCCGAGGGGGGCGGAATAGGCACCTGAGCGAGTTCCTTCTGCTCGTTCACCAGGCGGCTGCAGCTGGCGATCATCTGGTCCAGGGCGTACAGGCGGTCCTCCAGCCCTTTGATGGCTTTCATGTTCTGGTTATCAAGTTTGGCGATAGTCTGACGGCACTCTGCTATAAAGGGCCGAATGATCCTCGGATCAAGCTAAATGACAAGGAAACAAACAGGAACGAGAATTTCAGCCAACGCCACACACCCAAGGTCTCTCATACGCCGCTTCAGAGGGACAGACAGAAACAAACATAAGCGAAAAACGTGGAAAAATCTGCGTTAATGAAACTGTGACACTGCTGTCTGGAATAAATAAATGGGAACGTGATTCCGGGAATTACACCCGTCAGTCAATTCTACAATCCGACTGTTTCTGACATCCCACAGAAAATGCTACAGGCGGTTTACATTACACAAAGCAGAGTCAAAACTGTCATTCATTCTTTGGTTATTTAAAAAAAAGCCAAGCCAACATCCCCGTAAAGTATCAACATCTTCGCACTTAGCTGAGCTACGCTCCACCTGCCACATCAATGACCCTCTCCTACTGGACTCCTCAGTTTTCCCGTCCCCTGGCTGAACTGTACAAAATTTCCGGTTCTCGGAGCGCATAAAAACTTCCTCCACTGGGGCTAGGAGCAGCTCGACTGGGAGACGGCCGTCCGCGTGAAGCAGACAGCGTCAGCCCACCTCCACACCCTCCCGACATCCTCTCGACACCCCCTCTCCTTTTCAAGACTCTGCCGAGGTCGTGAGGTCTCCTCAAGAGTCCCTCAGCCACCTGGCCTGAAGGGGCCCTTGCTCCTTCGAGCTGTGGCACGCGTCTCTGCTGCTTTTCAGTGGCTCCTGCTCTCTGACTGACTGACGAGAGGAGCACCAGGACCGTGCTCCATTCCACGGTTAGCGCCAAAGCTCGCCATGTCCCCACTTTTCCCTTTCTGTCCTGGCAGGCGGTCCGCCTTTGGCCCCTGCGGGTGGGAGTGTCTGGGCCACGTCGGAAACCGCTCGGTCATCTCCCCTGCGGTGTTGGGGGTCAGATACGGCGAAGCAAGAGGATCCAAACTGGCCGCGTGCAAGGTGCAAAGGTAGCACTACCCCGCCGCTACCTTTCCAGCTTCTACTGCCCAGCCCTTTTCCAATTCAAATTTGCAAGTTGGATAAAAAAAAAATAAGTCTCTACAAATCTAACAGAGCAGTGACTCTAAAGATCGAATATCAAGGACACCCGGTGACATTTCAGCATGTCACAGTTCACTGCAAGTATCACTAAAAGGTGGAATGGAAGAATATTTTGTGACTCAATGTCTACAAGTTGTACACGTTAGGACTTGGGATTTTGTCATGAAAGTATGGACAGAAATTACCGTGGGGGTGGGGGCCAGAGAGACAGTACAGGGGGTAGGTGCTGGCCCTGCATGAGTTCCACCTCCGACACCCCAGGAGGTGAGCCTGAGTGCAGAGCCAGGAGGGAGCCAGCACACTGCCAGGTGTGTCCCCAAACAAAACAGAAAATAATGAAACAAAATATCAAAGTGCTGATGCGGTAAATCACACTAGTGAAACTACCCAATACGTACAGTACAAAGTACAGTAGAAATATGAACAGTTCTTCAAAATGAGCTTTCATTGCGTTAAGTGAATTTAAAAACAAATTTTAAGAAGCTTATAAACTTGTACTGTAGTTACTATTTTAAGTAAAATTAACAAATTTTATAACAAGTATGAACAAAAGCATCATGGTGCTCTGATAGTAATCATGAAAAATGAGACGAATGTACCAATATGCAGAAATGACACTACTAATGTTTGTTTTTTGTAGGTATAAATTCCTGTGAATATTCATAATTTTGTTAGGAAAAGCTGTTGTTTTCTTCCCTCGTATAACCACGCAAATATATCTGGCTCGCGTAGATTTAAGTTCAATCAACAAACAAAACCAATTTCAAGTTCTTTCAACCAGTGACTCTCCTCAAAATGCGCAGCCCCCTTCTCTGACTCATGGAACTGTTAAGAATGTGACTTCAATCATCGTAGTAACGATCTCGCTCTTGACTTCACACATACCACAAATTTTCTGGCTACTAAAATAGCCATAGTTTAGTCAGGAATACTCACTTGTCAGTAGTCTTTCCATAATGTTATGTGTCCTACCCTGTCCTAGAAAATGTCTTAACCGAAGCCTTCTGTAACATGCAAATGAAATGCTCACGTAAAAGGACTCGTCAAGGAAAGAGATATTGCCAGAATTAAGAATCACAGACTGGATTTTTTTCTAAGTATCGTATTTTATTGCCCTGTCATTTGAACAGCTATACGCTACTTCAAAAAACAAAAATCTATCAGTAACGCAACAGTTTTCCCAATGGAAAGCTCTATCTCCGTACAGCTCAGGCGCAGTGCCTCATTAACTTCCTTTCTAGATCTGAAGATTTACACTGCAAACTAATGTTTACAAGTAAGATTCAAAGACTTACGTATTCCCCACATTTTAAAGTCTCTATAAGCAATCCCTGAGTTACAGGAAAGGGAAAGTTATCCCCAAATGAAGCTCACTGTAATTACGTAACTGAAGCGACCCTTGGAGGGCTGGGAAGAGACAGTAACAGGATCAGGATGCTCGCCTGGCGTGCCGTCAACCCGGCTTGACTCCTGGCACCGTGCAGGTCCCCAGTGCACTGCTGGGTGTGGTGCCGCCCCCCAGCCCCCCAACACAGCGTGAGGCCAGAGACCGAGTGAGGGGTGAGGTGCCTCCTTGCGGGCACACCTTGCTCCATCCCCGGTGTGCAGGCCCCTGGCCCCCAGGAGCGACCCCTCGGAGAGCCAGCAGCTGCGCATGGACCACCCACCACCCCCTCCAAGAAGACGCCCCACGGAATAAACTCGTTCGGAACTTCAAAGTATCTCAGGGAGCCGCCACCTGCTCCAATACAGAGTCCCGCGCCATATCGAGGCTTCGAAGTTTAAAGTATCTCAGGGACTGCAGCGTTTAAACCTCCTCCTTTGAGAAGGAGTTCTCGCTCTAGAGCGACGGTTAGAATCACATTAAGGACGTCGACAGTCCAGAAACCTTCTGTGGATTAACCACACAAGCCTCACGCACGTGTCACTGGGTCGTTGTCAGCGTAAGGAAACCTTCTGGACACCATAGAAAGGTCAGAACCGGCCCCAGCGAACAGAGCACGGGTCCCGCGCGAGGCTCTGCACTGCCCTCAGAACGCCGCAGGCGTCTTCCTTACACATCAGATACGCAGCCCCAGACTCACCCTGCTCATAGAATCGAAGCACTTTCTGACCAGAGACTCCACGTCGTTGGGTCGATCCTGCACGTTTATCCAGTCGAGCAGGGAGACGTTGAACAGAGGCAGACCCCCGTCCTGCGCCTCCGCCGCCGCGGCGTCCTCCTGCGGGAGCGGACTCTGGCCAGACTCCCCGACTTCCTTCCCGCTTCCGGCATCGGCCGCCTCGGGGGCGCCGGGGTCCCCGGCCCTGGGGAACGAGGTGGCCGGGGACCGGTCGGCTGTCCGAGGCGTCTCAGGGGAAAGCACCAGTTCAGCGGAGGTTCTCAGCGCGGCCTTCTCGGGGCGCTCGTGCTCAGACACGGAGTCCAGTCTCCCCAGACACTCGCGGTAGCTGTGTCGGGTCAGGCACTCGAGCAGCGGGATCTTCGCCATCACGGACACCGCAGTTCCTAAGCTTAAGGTACACAGCGCCCGTCAGAGAGCACGGCGGCTCCCGTCCAGAAAGGCCGGGCCCACACTCCTCGCTCACTTCAGACTCCGCACCCCTTACTCTCCCGGTGGGACACTAGCCAAGACAGCGGCAGAGGCCGTCAGCTACTCCCGCCCCCGGGCTTCCTGACCCCACGGCCAAACAAAAGCTTGTATTTGGCTCAGACCAGCAGTTGAGTCTCCTGAAAGACCTCTCTGACTCCTAAAATTTTCAACCCGCTGTATAGAATGGTATTACGTAGGTATAATAGAGTCATCTACTTAAGCAAGCATTCTGGGTTTTTCTAGTCCTTTGTTAACAATGCATGATCTTGCATTCTTTAAAACTATGCCTCTTGCATATAGTAATAACAATATATGTGAATATATTGATAAATAAAGTCTGTTGGGTCAAAAAAAAAAAAACCCATCCGCACCACCAAACCAAGCACCCTGAGTGAGGGTCACCTGGATCGCTTGTTAAAAACAAGGGGCCAAGGAAAAATGGCTGAAGGGATGGAGTGACCACAGGGCCCACCCCTGATCCCTGCACGGCAGAGGGCCGGTGGCCGCGGGCTCAGAGCACTGTCCCTGGGCACTGCAGAGGCTCCGCAGCCACTGGCTCAAGAGCACTGTCCCTGGGCTGCGCAGGCACTGGGCAGAGGCTCTAGGAAGAGGAGAGAAGGTGACTGCCCCCAGTGTCAGGGCGCAGGGGAGGGGGCAGTGGACACACGAGGGTCTCCCGCGCCACCTGCTGCTGCTCACTTCCCCGCGGGCCCATGAAACCAAACCAAACCACGCACCAGAAAAAAACACCTGAACGAGGCCCAGACTAAGGGGCTGACCTTTCATCTTGGCAAGTCTGTCGTATGGGAATAACCAAACAGAATACTTAATTTCCTTATTATTTTTGAAAAATTTTGCCCCTTTCCTTTTACGCTTATCTTAAAAAAAAAATCAAAAACAAAAACACAAAACATTTGCCCTTACTGGAATGTAGGTTTACTGGAAACTTAAGAGAGGAGGGCGAAGCTTCTCGGTTTGATCAAACAATATCTCAAGCCTCTGAAATAAAAACACAAGGAGAAGGCAGCCTGGGGGCAGAGGGAGAGGACCCTGAGGCCACCTCGAGCCGGACACCCGGGCAGGGGCAGCCCTGGAGTCGGCAACCGGCAGCGACCCCCGCTGAACCGGCTTCAGCGCGCCCAGAGGGCGGCCCCCAACAGAAGCGGCAACGCAGAGCCCTGCGCGTCTGAGACCCGCGAAGACTGCCTGACCTTGGCCTACGAAACGTCACCACCCGGCTTCCAAATGGGCCTCGACTCAAAACCAAAATGCTACCACCAAGCCACCAAGACTCTGGAAGGAGCCCGGGAGGGGAAGGCCCCTCGGAGCGGAGCGGCAGACATACTGCGTGAGCTTCAGCTTGATGTCCTCGATGGACTGCAGGTAGCCGGCGTAGGCGCTCTCGAACTTGGCGAGCAGCCGCTGGTAGGAGCTGGCGCAGTCCTCCAGGTTGGCCATGATGGCGGCCCAGCCCTGGTGCTGCAGGTGCTCGTCGTGCACCAGCCCCTCGCAGAAGGAGCACAGCTTCTTGGCCACCTCGTACATCTCCTGCGGGAGGGGGAGCGTGGGGAGAAGACAGTTCAGTGCTCGCGTGCACGCCCGCCCGCCCGCCCGCCCGCCCGCGCGCCCACGTGGGCCCGTCGTGGCATTCCGGAACCACTGCAAAGAACACCCTGTTTTGGCAGGCCTGCTGCTTCTCTCGGGCCCGAGAGGTGAGCAAGGAAACGCTGAGGCAAGAGCGGCCGAGGACACCCAGGCCCGATACAGAAAGCGAAAACCCAAGCCCGATACAGAAAGCGAAACGTCTCGGCCAGGGCAAGGCCACTCCCCCTGCAGGAACCGACCCAAGGGTAGCACAAGGCTCTTTCCCTCAGTGCATTCGACCACAAAGGAAACATCCACAGGTGTAACAACCAATGGTACACAACTGAAGTTTCCTATAAAAACACAGCACTGAGACACGAAATCTCTTTGTACTTAGGGAAAGATCGATATGCACGATTGAAAGCTAGGGTGCCAGGTTCACGAGTGAACTGTTTCTGTGTGAGTACAGACACAGACTCATCACGGGGCCAGAGAGATAGGACAGCAGGCAGAGTGTCTGTCTGCCCGGCACACAAGTGACGAGGCTTGATCCCAGCAGCCCACACCGAGCCGCAGAGCCGCCAGGAGCAATCCCGTGGAAGCCCCACGCCAGAGACCAGCTGCGGGTCCCCAAGGATCTCAACGTGGAATCCTGGGAAAGGCCCACGTGTGGGGTTCTGGCGGCAGGAGGCCTTCTGGAAAGAGCAAACACAGGTGCCCCAAGGCCTCGACACTGGCTGTACATTTGGAGTCCTTGGGATAAGCAGGCAATTCTTAAACAAGACTCGAGAGCAATACCGCTGGTAAACTGGCCGTGAAACAAGGAGAATTTGTTCCCGTCACAAGATAGCATCAGGTAAAAGAAATGCCATCAGCGGCTGGGCATATTTTAACAAACAAAAACCAAAAAGGGTCTTCTATGAAAATTAAGTAAGGACACATATAAATCGATTACAAGGAAATTAACAATCCAATTTAAAAGAGAACACAGTATTTTCGCAGAAGTTATACAAAAACCTCAGAAATACATGACAAATACATGACATCTGGTCATCTTGCTAACTACCATGAAATACAAAAGAAGCCATCATGGCCTAAGATCACAGACGTCTCAGATAATGGGTAAGAGGCTCCAAATAAAATCCAGGGTGTATAGAACAGGAAAGAGGCCCAGGGCCCAGGGCCGGAGCAGGCTTTGCACTCGGGGCCCATGGACACCCCCCACCCCGCCCCAAGTAAAGCTGAGATTATCAACCGTACTGCACTGCTATAGGAGCCAAAAACACTAAAACTTAACAACGTGCCAGAGATAAAACGGTGCGATAAAGAACGTACAAATCAGGGTAGTCACAACAGCCTAAAGCTGGAAACGCTCTCCTACAGCTGGGTGAAGTCGGCCAGCTACAGCAGTCGGGAGCCGGCTGCGTCACGGCATTCTGGCCACGGAGAAACCACGGGGGCAGGGCCCCCGGAGGAAACACCCACAGCCACCTGGTGTGGCCGGTCATACCTGGGAGCGTCGCGTCAATCAACTAGTGACACACGGGCCAGGCGTCTGCCCAGGGCGCCTTCCCAGAAAGCCTGTGTGCGTGAAGGAGGCAGAGCACCCATGGGGCAAAGGCACGAGCGCAGCCCAAGGACAGACAGCTCGGGAGAGCCCAGGCAGGAAGGAAAACGGAGGCGGCTCCCGCTGAGCTCGGGGAGAGGAAAGGCAGGCCCAGGCAAGCGCCAGGGGACTGGTCGGCTCTCACGAGAAAGGGACGGTGAGCACCGAGAGGAGAGCCGGCAGGCACTGCTCAGGGGTCGCTGTTTTCATGCTCCTTTTGCGAAAACGCATTGAAGAAAACGTACGATTCACATTTTCATTTTCTATCATTTAATAAGCTCAGTAAATAAGAACTGTACTACTTATCAAGGTACAACGAAAGGCGAGTTCCTAGACACGCCACCAGTCAAAGGGGTGACCAGACTTAAACTTGACTAACTGAAAAGCGACTAGGACCGACTCAATGGGACTCGAGCAGCACGCCCAGGTTACTGTAAGACACCAGCTACGGGGGCGTGTGTCGGGAAACCTCCCACACTACGGCCCCCTCACCTGACTCTCACCCCTCCACAGTTTTCACTATGCTGATGCTGGTCCCTGATCCTCCACATACACTAGAAACCCATTTTATCTAAAACCAGGAAAGCCCAAAGCTCCTCCGGCAAACTCCCTTCTCCCGTGGAAGACGCTTCATGGTGGCGACTTGAACTAGCATTTGCTAAGTTCCTGAATATGAGGAATGTTCATTTTCACTTCTTCCATTTCCCCCAATTACTCTTTACTGATTTGTACTCCTTCTGGATAGTGGCAAAGAAGTTCACTGGGACACAGCAACCAGGTGCCCATGGAGTCGACCGTGGGGCTCTCAGTCAGCACAAAGAGCAGTCGCGGAGGGACTGGCTTTCTGCTGGGCATACGGCTGACAAACAGGATTTTACTTGGGACTCTTGTCTTCCAGAGGCATGAACACATGATTGAACCCGGCATCTAAGGAATCTGTACTATCTGTGCTTTAGCACAATGTTTCTAATTCACACCAAAAAAAATGTCCCTAGTATTTCCATGATTTGAAAGTTGATTGTATATATTTGGTCATCCATCTCTTTCCCTTCGCATACATTAATTACATATATTTTAAGCCGCTTTTCCCACGTTTTCAGATCATTAATGCCCAACTAAGATGAACAGACTTTGGAGAAAGCCTTACCAGGACTACGAAGAAGAAATCATTTTATGAGATGGGTGGTACTAGAATGTCAAAAAACAGTGACCTTACCACTGCAAGTTGTGTCCTTGAAGCAACAGTGTGAAACACTGCCGGCATCATGAGAGACTCTTCCACTTTTATTTCCATGTCATTTTCTGTTGAAAAGGTGGTTTTAGGAATAGTGGGCGGGCGGTCACACAAGATCATTTCTTTGTTGAAAAGGAAAATGGGATTTGTGTCCTAAGGAAGCGAAACACACAAACAAAATCCCTCAAATGAGACGCTGAGGATTTCCCGCAGACCCGAAGGCCCGTGTGTGAGGAGAGACCCCCGCTCCCCGCCCCCCCCCCCCCGGAGCCCACCGTGCCGGCGCTGTAGGTGCAGACCCTCCGCTCGGCGGCCATGCACTCGCCGCCGTTGACCACCAGCACCTGGTGCGGGATGGCGATCTTGTACTTGCTGTGGACGGCATGCTTGAGGTCGGCCACACTGCGGAGAGAGGAGGGGCCGTTACTGCCGGCTGCCCGATGTGCTACCCCGAGGACCTCCCCGGGAACGGACCGATTCAACTCCAGTGTCTCCGCCCAGAGCAGAAACACACCCTCTAGAAGTGCACCTCACACCCAACCAGCCGCCCCACGCCGGACCCAATAGAGGTCTATGAGACACGGGCAGGAGACACATTCATCACTACACACTTCACACGGTGGAGCAACGAAACACTCTGACAGTAACGTCAGACGGGGGCACTCTCCGACAGGAGATGTGTGCTAAACGGACACGCTGTGGGCACACTGTGCTATGAAATCATACAGAATATTCTTCCTCTGTTTAAAAAAAAGAAAAACAAGCCTTTTTTTTCTTTGCTTTTTGGGTCACACCCGGAGATGCACAGGGGTTACTCCTGGCTCATGCACTCAGGAACTGCTCCTGGCGGTGGTCACGGGACCATATGGGATGCTGGGAATCGAACCCGGGTCGGCTGCAGGCAAGGCAAACGCCCTACCCGCTCCAGCCCCAAAGTCATTCCTTTAAGAGGTAAAACTGCATTTCATAAAAACTCATAACCTGAATGGAAATTTCATAATTTGATTTTTCAAACCAGGAATATTAATCTCAATTTTTTATAATCTCACAGGCAGAATTATTTATTACACAATGATCATCAATGAAAACATCAGCAGGCAGAGACTCAGAGATGGCACGGCGGTCAAGGCCTTCCTGGAGCTGAGCGCAATCCCTGCAGCCTGGTCTCCCCGCACTGGTGGGCTGTGGGCCTGGAGGTCCCCGGCTGGGGGTTCAAGCACTCAACAGCCTAGCACTGAGGTGGGCTGAGAACTGCAAGGAGGGGACCCTGGGCTCTGAACAGTTTGGGGGCACCTGTTTCCCAGCAGCGCCCCCCCAATACACACACACACACACACACACACACACACACACACAAATATGTATATGGGGGAAGGGCGAGGTTTAGAAATACGTGCTATTCATTCTTTCCTGCTTGGCTTCCAAGTATATTCTGCCTTCCCTGAAACCTCTAGGCCACTTTTCACAAATATACGAAACTAGACAAGTATCAGAAACTGCTGCAAAGCTAAAGAATGAATTATTAGAGAAGAATCCCAGTAAGGCTGAAATATCGGAAAGATTTACATTCTCATTCACAAATAACAGGAACACTGTCCAAACAAACACGGTCCTCCCGTTGTTCACCAATTTGCTCGAGCGGGCCCAGTAACGTCTCCATTGTGAGACTTGTTGTTACTGTGCTTGGCACATCGAATACGTCACGGGGAGCTTGCCAGGCTTCGCTGTGCGGGCGAGATACTCTCGGGGTAGCTTGCCGGGCTGTCCGAGAGGGGCGGAGGAATCCAGCCCGGCTGGGTCGGGCTGGCTACGCGCAAGGCAAACGCCCTACCGCTGTGCTATTGCTCCAGCCCAACAGGAACACAAATGTTCACAAATAAGTGAGCCACCTTCCACAGAGTGACAACCAACCAACAAAGACCTGAGCCTGGCAAGGAAGAGGGCAGGAGTCTAGGTGGTGGCAGGAGTCTAGGTGCAGTGCTGGGAACACAGTGCCTAACACAACCCTCGCAAGTGTCTGCCAGAGGCCGGCTGCCAGGAGGGAGGGAAACTGGATACTGGTGAAGGGATTCGTGTAGAGATCAAGAATGACCTGTAACGCACCGTGACTGAAAAACAACACAAAGGGGACAGATGCCTGCGATTTTGATGTAACTAGCAGTGACTCCTTGATCGATGCCCTGTAAAACTCGTAACAACAATCACTCATGAAGACTTACTTCGACCTGAGAGCTCTTCCTAGACCTAAGTTTATAGGTAAGCTGGATAATTATGAATGAACTATTTGCTCACACAGAACAAAGTAAAAGATGACGACTCTATACGTCATGTTTTTCGATAACAAATTTCAGACTTACCAGACACACTGCTACTCTTATATAGTAAGGAACATTTTTCTGAAGACCAAATCCCTAGCTTTTTGCTACAGGAAATGAAAAACTGATGAAAATAAATGGAAAATAGCTCACGTTTGCACTGTAAGTTCAGTGTCAAATGTCAGAGTAGTTCCAGTGTTAACCAGAAATACATATAACTTCATGATGACTTCTCTGGCTTCTGGGAGCTGAGCCCTCACTCTCTCATGCAATCACTGAAAGGAACAAGACAAGGGATCAGTTACACATACACCAACTACAAAAGTATCCATACAGCAACACTACAGAAGTAACAAAAACCAAAGCTTGTTTTTGATGTTAACATGGCTAGACACCTTGTCATTTGTTGCTAAAAAAAAAAAAAAAAAGACAGTAATGAAACCAGCAAAAAGCGTAATTGCTTTATCAGAATTCTCCAACCCACTCCAGGAAAGATGCACAGACTCCTCAGAGCAGGCCCTGGGGGGAGCGGAGGGGTACCTGCCCCAGGTGAGCAGAGGAAAGTGACCCCGTCTGCACAGGTCACAGACCCAGCCTCTCCTGCCTCCGCTCCAGCCACATCACAGTTCTCAGGCACTCGTCTTCTGTATGCAGGGTAAAAATCAAAATACAGCCAGACTACAGCCCCCGTGGACTTTAAGAAAGAAAATGGGGACTTAAAATTGATTTGTAGGGCTGGAGCAATAGCACAGCAGGTAGGGCATTTGCCTTGCACGTGGCCGACCTGGGTTTGATTCCCAGCATCCCATATGATCCTCTGAGCCCTGCCAGGTGTGACCCAAACACCAAAAAAAAAAAAAAAAAAAAAAACCCTGATTTGTGTATTTCACACTTTTCCTGTAACTTCTACATTTGAAATACCTAAAATGTAGACGGTTACACGAAAAGTGTGAAATACACAAATCAGTTTTAAGTCACCATTTTCTTTGAAAGTTCTTCCTCTGATTTTTTTGTTATAACAGTAAAAAAAATATTTTACTGTTACAAATGATTTTAAACTATTATAAATACTCGAGCAACAGGTAAGAGTAACGGATCCTTGCACGTTAGGAGAAATTAGTTATTCCCACCAACTGCCTCTTAATCTGCATTCCACCTGCTGACCCTGAAAATTATCCCAGGGGCAGTGGTATCTGTCCCAGCGCTGGAGCACCCGCTGCACGCGGGAACCCCGGGTCGAACCCGCAGCACAGAACCGCTCCCTGAGCACCAACGTGCACTTCTCAACCCCAAAGAAAACCCGTCCATTCCTCGAGGTCGAACACCCTCGGAACGCAGCCGAGTGGCACAGGGCTGGGGTCAGGACCCTTCAAACGAGTCTAGCGTTTAACCAGCGGACCAAATCGAGACCTCCCACACAAAGGCGCACATTTCAAACGTCATCGTGTCATCGTCATCTTTTATCCCACAATGAGACAGCGAGTGGTGAAAGGCCGCAGAAAATCAGCCCCCAGCTGTGTGCTGCAGAGAAACATGACCGGGCAAGAACAAAGGCCAAAGGCAAGTGCTATTTCTGTGGATACTCATCTAACAGATCAACAATGTCTCCTCATAAAATCTCTCTGTTTTCTGACTTGTCACTGGCCTACAGTATTGTGGAATCTCAGGGATCTGCTTCACACCTCTGCATGTGACCGTCACCAACCACGCCACTGAAATCCCAGCGTGTCACCCCCAGAGACCCCGCCTCCCCCGTCCCCTCCCCCCTCCCATCTGGCGGCTACCAGAGGCCTCCAGCCTAAGGAGTCCCGGTTTCCACCTCTGCCTGGGCTTCTCGTTCTTCATATTCTGCCTAAGTGAGACCTATCCACTAACTGTCTTTCATCAGAACTAACAGTTCACCTCTATACTCAGAAAATATGTTTGAATTGTTTCCAAAATCACTTAAAATGTTACAGATCAAAGTCAGGGTATAGAGAACCGTCACTCACCTCAGGCACTGTGAAAGGATTACCACGTTTCTTAGCAGATTAAAACTGGCTTATGTTTGCTTTGCTTGATATTGGCAATTGAATGGCATTACTGGTTAAATTGGATGAGCTAGAAAAGAAAAAAAGGTCTGGTTATACAGAGAAGCAATTTAGTATGCGACAGATGCTTAAATACGTCTTTTAAAATCACCTCTGATTTCTCAAGAACAACAGAGCTGGGGCTGGAGCGACAGCACAGCAGGGAGGGCGTTTGCCTGGCACACGGCTGACCCGGGTTCGATTCCCAGCATCCCAGAGGGTCCCCCGAGCACCACCAGGAGTAATTCCTGAGTGCAGAGCCAGGAGAGACTCCCGAGCATCCCTGGGTGTGACCCCCCCCCCCAAAAAAGAACAACAGAGCTTCCGTATGACCTGGCAATTCCACTTCTTGGTTCAACCCCCGCCACCCCCCAACACAAACAGCTCCCCAGTGGCAAGTGCTACAGCCATTATTTCCCTCGAGCAGGCCCCAGTAAGGTCTCCTTCGTCCTAGCCCCGAGATTTTAAAAAGTGCCATATTCAAGGCTCTTTAGGAGAATGAGACCCATCATTGTTACTGGTATTTGGCATATTGGGTACGCCACGGGGAGTTTGCCAGACTCTGCTGCGTGGGCAGGTTACATTCGGTGGCCTGCCAGTTTGTCCAAAGTAGGAATGAGATAGTAAGATGTCGAGTTTCCCTCCCGGCCCCGAGCAGAGCTCCGCCAACCGAAGCCCTCCAGAACCAGCCACCACCATGCTGAGACCACTCTCCACACGCATGAAGGTACCGGCAGAGGAACACAGGCATGCGGGTCCCGGGGCTGAGATCTCCAAGCCTGCTCAGATCGGGGCTGAGCATCCTCCACCCAGATCCTTCGAATTCCAGTAGGCAGGGGTCACACCCACCAACTCGCCCCCTGGCACCGTGTAATCCCATCAACGGCCAAGACCCAGAGACTATAAAACCCAGCTCCCAGTTTTTTAAATGTAAGTGGTAAGAAAAAGAAAGGGCCATGAAGTCTGTGCCCGATTTCAATTCTGACTCTGTTACTAATTACGACCTTGGACAAGTTATTGAACTACTGTAGTTTCTTCAAACAAAAAAGGAATAAAAATGTACTATGAGGAGGTTTACGCTCGCTCAGACAAATCTCCAGGTGGCCTCGCCCCTGTGAGCCCTGCCCCGCACTGGCTACGAGCAGGCCTGCCTCTCTCGTTCCCAACAAGGAAGGGCAGGCAAGATGTGCCGGCCCGGCCTGGCCCAGCCCAGCCCGGCTGCTACTGCAGCCCCAACTCTCTCCGGCCAGCTGACACCCTCAGAGCTGGAGAGCAAGAGACGAGGACGCTGACGGCCCCAGGGCGTCGGGAGGGAGCGAGACTCCTGACGCCCCCGCCAAGGCATCCTGCGAGTCAGCCTGAGACAGGAGCCCGGGCAGGCGCCCCAGGAACCTCAGCAAAGTTGCGCTTCACTCGGCCTGAGGAAGGCAGTGCCGACCCCAGGACCCCACGAGGGTTGCTGGGATGGGGGCGACAGCCAGGCACAGGGGACCGCCTGGAGCCCATGCCCTGCAGGCACAGCCCAGGCCTGAAGCGGAGGGGTGGCGGGGAGGGGTCTACCCCTCAAAAGCCACAGGAAAAACAGGCGGGCATCCTGTGCTGTGCCCCCCTGGGCCAGACTCACGCGCTCCCGAGTCTGAGGAGCTGCTCTCTCGCTCTGGCTCTCTCTGACCCTCTTCACTCACACCCATGTGCCCAGCACAGCCTCCCCCGCCTGCCCGCCCGCAGCAGGCTTCTGACCCGCCACACATCCCCGCGGCCTCGGATGCCAGGACTGGCAACGCCGGCCGGCCAGCCGGGCTGTTCTCTGCTCACACGCGTAGTCATGTGTCTGCTCGCGGGGCAGTTTCATTGGAGGAGAGAGCGGAAGCTGGCGCTTGAGAAAACGTACTCTGGTCTGGGCAACCACTGATCTGTCTTGTTTGGGTCTGGTGCTACGGCACGCCTGGCTGTGCTCTGGGCTGACTCCCGGCTCTCTGACTCCTAGCTCTGTGCTCTGGGCTGACACCTGGTGGAGCTGGGGGTGTCCGGGGGATGCAGGGGCCCTATCTGGGCCAGGCACACGCAAGGCAAGGCAGGCGCCCTGGTGCGACATTGACTCTTCGGGCTCTCCTCACAGCTATTTAGAATGCTTTATAAAATGTTTTATTATTGAACGTCTTTGTTTGATCCCCATAGGCGTCCTGTAAAAATTCAAGTATATTCTGACTTAACTACTTGTCTTTCGCTGGAGAATACCAACGTTCTTGTTTCCCATGAAAAAAAACGCTGGAACTCGTGAAGGAGAGAGGGCTGCCCAGGCTCTTGCGGGAAGGTTCCCGCCAACTGCCTTCCTGTGCTGAGTCCCGGCACTAACACCCACCGGGACAGCGGGGGCGGCGTCCTCCGGCCACCTCTCACACCTGCTCCCCCGGGTCACTCCCAAGCCACGCCTCCACGCGCGGAACAAAACAAGCTATTGGGAACCTTAGAAGGGGTCGGAGTGGCGGTGCAGGGCTCTGGCTCGTGCTCTGCGTGCAGCACCAGAGGGCCCAATCCCCCAGGAAGGGAGGGCCCCTGGCCCCGGGCACAGCTGGGGGCGACCCAAGGTCACATGAGTGTGCTCAGCAAGCATTTCCTGCCGAGGACCTGAATGCACGCCACAGGACTCACTGCACACGGAGGCCTTCCACGCACGAGGCGTGGGGGCAGGGCAGCGGGCGGGGTCTGATGAGATGCCGGGGCAGGCGGGGTGGCCCAGAGAGCAAAGGTGCCGCCTGCTTCCTTCCCAGGGGCAGGACGCAGAGTCCCGGCCTGATGAGGGCACGTCGGTGTGCGACAGGACCCGACACTCTAGGGGAAACTCCACGCCGAGACAGGCGTTCTGGAGCAAACCCGCTGGGGTAGCCCTGAGGTCCTTAAGCTCCTTAAACCGGCAAAGACATTACTTAAGAAGGAAGCAAACATGATAGAATCTGACACACATGCAACGACGGAAAACGGTGGTGAGGAAGGATCCATGTTAGGAGTTGGGTGATGCAAAGAGGCTCACCCTGTGGGTGACATGCACATGGGCCTTGGGGTGAAGGAGCCCCCGCCCATGAATGTGTGTGAGGCAGTGCAGGAAGACACAACAGTCACGACTAAACAAAGTCTTCTACAGTGATTATCACTAGCCTAAGATACTCTCTTTTAAAGTTTTTTTTTCTAACTCTTCTGTGTTGGTATGATTTTATCACATTTGGAAACAAGCCACCAAGCAACAAAAAGAAAGGATGGGGAGGCCCCAGCCGGGCCCCTCAGCCCTGCCTCACGCGGGCTGGCCCAGGGGGGCGCGGTCCCAGCCGTGCGGTTCCTCTCTAGGAGGGGTCACACATGCCTCCGTCCACACAGGCAAAAGAACATCCAAATTACGGGCAATTTCATACATATTGATCCAAAGATCCTTCAGAGGATTTTCTAATGCTTATTTTCCAAACTGGAACGATAGGACAGCGGTAGGGCGTTTGCCTTGCACCCGGCCAACCCTGCCGAGCTGGGTTCGATTCCTCCGCCCCTCTCAGAGAGCCCGGCAAGCTTCCGAGAGTATCTCGCCCGCACGGCAGAGCCTGGCAAGCTCCCCGTGGTGTATTCGATATGCCAAACACAGTAACAGCAAGTCTCATGATGGAGACGTTACTGGACCCGCTCGAGCAAATCGATCAACAACGGGAGGACCGTGATACCGTGATTTTCCAAACAATGAAAGTTAACACGGACACATGATCTAACCCCTAGTTCATACTCAAATTTCCCCCTAAAAATATTCTGTGAGATTTCCTTCCAGCCCCCCATTTAGAGTCAACGTAGCATCATACAGAGCTTCCAGCTGTAAGAGCAAACCTTGAATTTTCAGCAGCCGTCGACCTGTGTTTTTTTTTTGGGGGGGGGGGTAGGGAGGCAGGGCTGGGGCTTTGGCCTCACCATGTGCTCAGGGCTCACTCCTGGTCCGCGCTCAGGGCCCGGGCCCTGCACCCCGCCCGCACTGTGCCTCTTCCCTTCCACCATCTGGGCCAGCCTGCCTAAAAGGGAGGCCGAGAGAGGGCTGCAACGGCCCCTGCGCCCTCCACGGGAGCATCCGCACGGACAGCCTCAGGAGCGGCGACACCAGCTCTGACCCAGCTCCAGAGTCGCACCTGATGCTCCCTGTCACGGAGCTTGTCCCCCAGGCTCGGGAGCGAGCGCCGCCGGCCAGCGTGCTGAGACCCTCCTGGCCCCCCTGCCCTGCCCCAGCCACACCGGCGGCCCTCGCCAGACGGGCTGCGTCCTGGCCCGCACCCTCACCCGCGCACGGCCGTGCCAACCTCTCCCCGCCACAGCCGCCACCTGCTGGGACCCGCGCAGGCCTGCGGCCCTCGGCGCCAAAGGTCCCATCTGCGCCGCGTGCCCCAAGCACCCCGCGCATCGCGTGACCATGAAGGACTCTTCACCGGTCACTCATCTTGTCACTCACACCAAACTGTGTGTGCACTCACTGATGTTTCCTAAGCACCGTCTCTATGAACGTGAGCGGGGAAGAGAGGCCACGGGTTGTTCAGGACGGCTACAGGCAGAAACGCGGAACACCAAGACCCAGCTCCACGACCCAGCTAGCCCGTTCACAGAGCCTCCACCCCAGCCTGCAGCACTCACTGGAAACAGCCGAGAGGCCGCCAGGTCCCCGCCAGCAGCCTGGCTGTCCCCGTGGCCGGCCGCGCATCCCTGAACCTAGCACCCTCTGAGCTTCCAGAACAAGGGCTCGGCGGCGGGAGAGGAGCGGGCCTCAGGTTCCCGTGCTGCTGACATCCTGGTCGTCTCAATGAAAAGACCCTCTTCTGGTCCGGGGGTCACCCCTGGCCGTGCTCAGGGCTTCCTCGACGGGCAGTGCTAGGGGCCCATGTGGACTTCTGGGGGGCCAGCACCCCACTCGCCGTACTGGCACTCGGGCCCCCAGGGGAGCAAGGGCATGACCGTCCTACGAAAACACGCAGGAAGAGCACAGCTTAGGATTCGCCTGTACACGTTCTAATCTCC